GAGTCAATTGGAGGTGTACCCGTGGATGTATTTCAAGGCCTACCTTCAAACTCAGTTCCTCTTTGCTTGACATTAGGGGAAAATCAAAAGAAATCAGCCAAGACCTCAGAAAAAAAAATGGTAGACCTCCACAAGTCTGGTTCATCCTTGGGAGCAATTTCCAAACGCCTGAAGGTACCACGTTCATCTATACAAACAATAGTACGCAAGTATAAACACCATGGGACCACGCAGCCGTCATACCGCTCAGGAAGGAGATGTGTTCTGTCTCCTAGAGATGAACGTACTTTGGTGCGAAAAGTGCAAATCAATCCCAGAACAACAGCAAAGGACTTTGTGAAGATGCTGGAGGAAACAGGTACAAAAGTATCTATATCCACAGTAAAACGAATCCTATATCAACATAACCTGAAAGTCCACTCAGCAAGGAAGAAGCCACTGCTCCAAAACCATCATAAAAAAGCCAGACTACAGTTTGCAACTGCACATGGGGACAAAGATCATACTTTTTTGAGAAATGTCCTCTGGTCTGATGAAACAAAAATAGAACTGTTTGGCCATAATGACCATCATTATGTTTGGAGGAAAAAGGGGGACGCTTGAAGCCGAAGAACACCATCCCAATCGTGAAGCACGGGGGTGGCAGCATCATGCTGTGGGGGTGCTTTGCTGCAGGAGGGACTGGTGCACTTCACAAAATAGATGGCATCATGAGGAAGGAAAATTATGTGGATATATTGAAGCAACATCTCAAGACATCAGTCAGGAAGTTAAAGCTTGTTCGCAAATGGGTCTTCCAAATGGACAATGACCCCAAGCATACTTCCAAAGTTGTGACAAAATGGCTTAAGGACAACAAAGTAAAGGTATTGGAGTGGCCATCACAAAGCCCTGACCTCAATCCTATAGAACATTTGTGGGCAGAACTGAAAAAGCGTCTTTAGGTGCTTTTCGTCAAACTCCAAGCGGGCTGTCATGTACTTTTTACTGAGGAGTGGCGTCCGTCTGGCCACTCTACCATAAAGGCCTGATTGGTGGAGTGCTGCAGAGATGGTTGTCCTTCTGGAAGGTTCTCCCATTTCCACAGAGCTCTGTCAAAGCTCACCTCCCTGACCAAGAACCTTCTCCCCTGATTGCTCAGTTTAGCCAGGGGGCCAGCTCTAGGAAGAGTCTTGGTGGTTCCAAACTTCTTTGATTTAAGAATGATGGAGGCCACTGTGTTCTTGGGGATGTTCAATGCTGCAGAAATTGTTTGGTACCCTTCCCCAGCTCTACGGACAATTCCTTCAACCTCATGGCTTGGTTTTTGCTCTGACATGCACTTTCAACTGTGGGACCTTATATAGACAGGTGTGTGCCTTTCCAAATAATTTCAAATCAATTGAATTTAGCACAGGTGGACTCCAGTCAAGTTGTACAAACATCTCAAGGATGATCAATGGAAACAGGATGCACCTCAGTTCAATTTCGAGTCTCATAGCAAAGGGTCTGAATACTTATGTAAATAAGATATTTCTGTTTTTTGCAAACATTTCTAAAAACCTGTTTTCGCTTTGTCATTATGGGGTATTGTGTGTAGATTGCTGAGGATTTTTATTTATTTAATCTATTTTAGAATAAGGCTGTAACGTAACTAAATGTGGAAAAAGTCAAGGGGTCTGAATACTTTCCGAAGGCACTGTAAGTATCAAAAGTAAAAGTATAAATAATTTCAAATTGCTTATATTAAGCAAATCAAACAGCACAATTTCTTGTTTTTATTTTAATTATGGATAGCCAGGGTCACACTCCAACACATAATTGACAAATGAAGCATTTGTGGTTTAGTGAGTCCGCCAGATCAGAGGCAGTAGGGATGACCATGGATGTTTTCTTGATAAGTGCGTGATTGGTTCATTTTCCTGTCCTGCTAAGTATTCAAAATGTATCGAGTACTTCTGGGTGTCTGGATAAATGTATGGAGTAAAAAGTACATTATTTTATTTTGGAATGTAGTGAAGTAAAAGTAAAAGTTGTAAAAAATATAAATAGTCAAGTAAAGTACAGATATCCCCAAAAACGACTTAAGTCCCCAGTGAAAGTTGCGCCCCTGGCATATATATACTCTTCAAAAAAAGAAACGTCCTCTCACTGTCAACTGCGTTTATTTTCAGCAAACTTAACATGTGTAAATATTTGTATGAACATAACAAGATTCAACAACTGAGACATTAACTGAACAAGTTCCACAGACATGTGACTAACAGAAATTGAATAATGTGTTCCTGAACAAAGGGGGGGGGGTCAAAATCAAAAGTAACAGTCAGTATCTTTTGTGGCCACCAGCTGCATTAAGTACTGCAGTGCATCTCCTCCTCATGGACTGCACCAGATTTGCCAGTTCTTGCTGTGAGATGTTACCCCACTCTTTCATTCCTCCGATGAAACGCGAATCCGACCATCACCCCTGGTGAGACAAAACCGTGACTCGTCAGTGAAGAGCACTTTATGCCAGTCCTGTCTGGTCCAGCGACGGTGGATTTGTGCCCATAGGCGACGTTGTTGCCGGTGATGTCTGGTGAGGACCTACCTTACAACAGGCCTACAAGCCCTCAGTCCAGCCTCTCTCAGCCTATTGCAGACAGTCTGAGCACTGATGGAGGGATTGTGCGTTCCTGGTGTAACTCGGGCAGTTGTTGTTGCCATCCTGTACCTGTCCCGTAGGTGTGATGTTTGGATGTACCGATCCTGTGCAGGTGTTGTTACACGTGGTCTGCCACTGCGAGGACGATCAGCTGTCAGTCCTATCTCCCTGTAGCGCTGTCTTAGGCGTCTCACAATACGGACATTGCAATTTATTGCCCTGGCCACATCTGCAGTCCTCATGCCTCCTTGCAGCATGCCTAAGGCACGTTCACGCAGATGAGCAGGGACCCTGGGCATCTTTCTTTTGGTGTTTTTCAGAGTCAGTAGAAAGGCCTCTTTAGTGTCCTAAGTTTTCATAACTGTGACCTTAATTGCCTACCGTCTGTAAACTGTTATAGTCTTAACGACCGTTCCACAGGTGCATGTTCATTAATTGTTTATGGTTCATTAAACAAGCATGGGACATTAAGATCTGTGAAGTTATTTGGATTTTTACGAATTATCTTTGAAAGACAAGTTTCTTTTTTTGCTGAGTTTAGTAGGAATGCTACACTTTTACCTGAGATTAATATGGGAAACCAGCTATTTAAGAATCTATGCTTGCCCTGATCGGTGTGTGTACATACTCGTACCACTAGGTAACGCTACTAGACTGGTGTTGGACAGGTTGGCACTTGACAGTGCATCATCCAACCTGCATGCCATGAAGGCGTCTGGAAAATGTACAGAATAAATCAAATGCATGGCAAACTCCTGCTATAAATAAAGTAGGCCTAGACTTGGCCTAGGCCACATCTGCTTGATTGACGATGATCGATTTTTGGGGCAAGTGAAGCAGGACTACGGTTTATTCATGTAATAAGATTCGATATAATCATAAAGCAATAGGATCCATGAACATATTTATTTTCTAAGAGGATATATTTGGCATAAATTATTATTTTGTTTCATAGGTCTACCGAGGGGCAGAGACAGTAAGTGGGCGTGGTGAAGAGGGAAAGTTGTGGAAGTTTTCCCTGGAAAGGGGCGCCTGCGCTCACCGCTACACTAAAAACGGACCGCTCAACTCCAGCTTCAACTCCAGCCGGCTCGCTTACAGCATGGAAAGGAAAGGTAACCTGCCCAAAGAATAGGGACGATAAATTAATAGTATCAGTGAATGCGCACAGTAATACGCCAACAAGCTGAGGCCGTTGATTTTGGACATATGACTGTTATTAAAGGAATTGTCAAGGCCGTGCATTTTTTTTGCTAAACTGAACAATAGCGAACCACGCGTTGTAGCTGGCTAGCCACCACATGCTAGCTAAAATGAGCTGTAAAGCTAGCTAGCATTGCTAATTTTCACAGCGCTTGAGTGGGGGGAGAGACTAAGGACACAGCTGACGCTTAACCCGAATAGCAAAAACCTAAAACGGACTATTGCTTTAACCAAAGCCGTACTCAAATGTTATACATTCTGGAATAAAACATTGGTTTGGGCGTCAGGCGTGTCCTACTAGTCTTTTCCGCTTGAGTGCACGCGCTCAAATAAACGTCGAACATCTCAGTTTGCACCATCCTGATTTCTGACGTTATAAACAGATTATTAAACTCGTTTGTGCAATTGAATAAACCAAACCATCTGTGTTAACTATAACTAGCTATATTTTGTCGCTAGCTAAGTCTGGCCATTTTAGCAACTGTCGTTATCGCTAACCAGTATGTTTGCTGCTACCTTCACACTTGTAACTTTATGCAACCGCTTTTGTATCCCTGGTTTTCGCTATGCAAACAGTCTCACTGGTGTTTTAGCTATAGCCAGTTACCGATATAAGTAGCCAGCCAATTGGTTGCTAGCTAGCTTGATACACCAGCTGCTAACTAGCTAACTAATATTGACATGAAAGTGAGGGTTCTGCTGAATGAAATGATATTTTGTCATCTATCCCGGTGACAGTTCTTGCACTCCAGGCTAGGAAGAAAAGGACAAAGACGAAGAAACCAGGCAAAAAGTAAGTAACTAACTAGTAACTTCTGTTGGTTAGTTAGACATTTACTGTCGAGTGCTCCTCTCCCTTACGGGAAAAAAATATTGCAGTATGCTGCAAATAATGCGTCCAAAATACGTTTGTTTTACTGCAGTAATTTTGCAGTGTAACTGCAGTCCAACTGCAATTAAGTCATCACTAACTGTAAAGTCGCTCTGGATAAGAGCGTCTGCTAAATGACTTAAATGTAAATCCAAAATACCACAGTCGACTGCAGTTACTGCGCTTTTACTGCAGTTTCAAAACTGCAATCTTTTTTTGTAAGGGCTGTGCATAACTGAATTGAAAGTGTAGGGTCGGCCGGGCAGCACACGAGCAGTTGTGCACTGCCGTGGCAGTCTAGACATGGAACTGGTGAACATTAGATAATGCAATCATTTATGTACTCTATAATTCTGTATAGCACTTTGGCATCTGCTGATGTAAAAAGGGCTTTATAAATACATTTGATTGATGACTATATATAAAAGTATGTGGACACCCCTTCAAATTAGTAGATTTGGCTATTTCAGCCTCACCCGTTGTTGACAGGTTTATATAATCAAATACACAGCCATGCAATCTCCATAGACACACATTGGCAGTAGAATGGCCTTACTGAAGAGCTCAGTGACTTTCAACGTCATAGGATGCCACCTTTCCAGTAAGGAAGTTCATCAAATTTCTGCCCTCGTCAACTGTAAGTGCTGTTATTGGTGAAGTGGAAACGTCTAGGAGCAACAACGGCTCAGCCGCGAAGTGGTAGGCCACACAAGCTCACAGAACGGGACCGGCGAGTGCTGAAGCGCAGCGCGTAAAAATTGTCTGTCCTCTGTTGCAACACGCACTACCGAGTTCCAAACTACCCCTGGAAGCAACGTCAGCACAATAACTGTTTGTCGGGAGCTTCATGAAATGGGTTTCCATGGCCGAGCAGCCGCACACAAGCCTAAGAGCACCATGCACAATGCCAAGCGTCGGCTGGAGTGGTGTAAAGCTCGCCGCCATTGGACTCTGGAGCAGTGGAAACACATCCTTTGGAGGGATGAGTCACTCTTCATCTGACAGCATACAATGACATTCTAGACGATTCTGTGCTTCCAACTTTGTGGCAGCAGTTTAGGGAAGGCCCTTTCCTGTTTCAGCATGACAATGCCCCTGTGCACAAAGCGAGGTCCATATATAAATGGTTTGTTGAGATCGGTGTGGAAGAACTTGACTGGCCTGCACAGAGCCCTGACCTCAACCCCATTGAACACCTTTGGGATGAATTAGAACGCAGACTGCGAGCCAGGCCTAATTGCCCAACATCAGTGCCCGACCTCACTAATACTCTTGTGGCTGAATGGAAGCAAGTCCCCACAGCAATGTTCCAACATCTACATTTACATTTTAGTCATTTAGCAGACGCTCTTATCCAGAGCGACTTACAGTTAGTATCTAGTGGAAAGCCTTCCCAGAAGAGTGGAGGCTGTTTTGCAGCAAGGGGGGGGACCAACTCCATATTAATGCCCATGATTTTGGAATGAGATGTTCGACAAGCAGGTGTCCACATACTTTTGGTCATGTAGTGCAGTGGTTCCCAACCAGGGGTACTTGAGAAGACTCATGAGACGATCGGCCTACTGGTAAAATGCACATGAGGGGTACTGCGGACAAAGCAAAATTCAGTTGGTGGTACAGTAACCGAAAAAGGTTGGGAACCACTGATGTAGTTAGTGTATGTGTGATTTATAATCTTTTTATTGGTAGCTGCCTGGTGTTTTGGTTTTCATAAAAACATTTATTCAGTGCATTCCTCATCCTGATTTGTGTGGTTGGGTCATTCCAACCATCCGGTGCCTTTTCAGTCCCCAGGACATATCACTTCTTATTTAGTGTATAGTAGTGTGTCTCCCGAGTGGCGCAGTGGTCTAAGGCTGCGCCATTAGAGATCCTGGTTCGAATCCATGGGGCGGCGCACAATTGGCCCAGCGTCGTCCAGGGTATGGGAGGGAATGGCCGGCAGGGATGTGTCTCAGTTGGTAGAGCATGGCGTTTGCAACGCCAGGGTTGTGGGTTTGAGTCCAACCAGTATGGGCCAGTATGAAAAAAAAAATATATATTTATAAAATAATAATGTCTCACTAACTGTAACTGTAAGTCGCTCTGGATAAGAGCGTCTGCTAAATGACTAAAATGTAAATGTATTGTAAAATGTGGTTTCCAAAAGGCTTTAAATATAAGGTCAGGTGTCCTTTACCTTAACACAAACATTTGGATCTTGAAAGGGAATTTTATGCATTTTGAACACTTTCTTTCAGTGGATGTTGGCGTTTTTGCCATGTCCTCTGGTATTATTCATCAGCTTCCAAGAGAAATATAAGCCAAAAATATTTATCTTAATTCATTATTTTATATTCCTTGTCTCATCAATAACGTTTTTTCATATTATTTATTCTTATTTGATTTAAGATTTTCTGTGTCGCAGATATCACTTAACACCCTGTTAGTTTGTAATTCTCCTTTAAGAAAACAACCCTTTCCTACAATGACACCACATTCAGGGAGTGTCATTTCTTTGGTGGGGAAAAATTAAAAGGTAAATAAACATCCAGTTTATCTATTTTTTTTTAATGTTTCATGTTAGTTTCTCACTCATCAATTTCAACCCTGTTAGGCAAAATCAAATCAAATATTTGGTATAATTATAGACAAAATTAACATTTTTGAAGTACGCTTGATTTAAAATCCTGTTCAAGTGTTCACCATTATGCTCAATCTTGCTCACTCACAGACCTATGGCTAATTTAGGCTCCAAATTTCCACCCTGTTAGGATTGTGCACATAACAGGTTGGGAAATGCACTTCTTAAGTGCCTGAGCTTGACCAATACGTTTTTCTGAAAGTCAAATGTCCTTTCTCTGATAGAGCGTCTGCTAAATGACTAAAATGTAAACGTAAATAGAAATTTTATTTATTTACTTTCCCTCCCAAAATATGGAGGTCCAAAAGGCACGGGACATTACCCGGTTGACTCAATCACTTTCACTGACATGTGACGTGAAAGCTGCCCTGATGCAGGCATTCCTGCATCTCAATAGTGTGAAGAGGCTTCCTCCTCGGTGGTAGGAGAGAAGGTTGCTGCCCTTAGTGCTGCTGTTACTGATCATTAATAAAACGAGTAAATTTTAAAGGACCGTTGACATTATTCCTGTTGACAGTGGTGTTTCTATGACAGTACAGTCTGTCTTATGCTTTCACTGAATACCTCTGTGTGTTTGGAGTGACTTCTGACTGGAATCTTTACAGGGTTAATGGCAAAGAGCCTTTTCATTAGAGACAAATCACCAGTGTTTCCACTGTCGGCTAATTCGGCTGCTTACAGACTAATTTTCAGCCGGCTACATTTTCCGCTTCATATTTTGAGTGAGAGAAACTGGGAAAACAAAACCTTTTATTTTGTGGGCTATTTAGTTAATTTTTATATTTTAATAAAATAAATAATTTGAAGAACAAACGTCATTGTGGCATTTCATATCTTGAAGTAAAACTGTAAATAAGACTTAAAAACGCTCTAGGGTCTAAGCCAGGGGGAGGGTGGTTCTACTAAGTTTACATTTACATCTGCTAAATGGCATATTATTTATATATTATTTACTAAGTTTACATTTACATTTAAGTCATTTAGCAGACGCTCTTATCCAGAGCGACTTACAGTTAGTGAATACATTATTATTTTTTATACTGGCCCCCCGTGGGAATCGAACCCACAACCCTGGCGTTGCAAACGCCATGCTCTATCAACTGAGCTACATTTTTATTTTTAAAAAAAAATTTTTTTTGTCATTTATCAGACGCTCTTATCCAGAGCGACTTACATGAGCAATTAGGGTTAAGTGCCTTGCTCAAGGGCACGTCGACAGATTTTTCTGACTCATTTGGATCAAGAAGGTAATTCTGAGAGAGATAGCAGGAGAGTTGGCTAGAGACGGCACGCTCAAGAGTTTTGGAGAGAAAAGAAAGAAGGGATACTGGTCTGTAGTTGTTGACATCGGAGGGATCGAGTGTAGGTTTTTTGAGGAGGGGTGCAACTCTCGCTCTCTTGAAGACTGAAGGGACATGGCCAGCGGTCAAGGATGAGTTGATGAGCGAGGTGAGGTAAGGGAGAAGGTCTCCGGAAATGGTCTGGTCAAGCGAGGAGGGGATAGGGTCAAGCGGGCAGGGTCAAGCGGGCAGGTTGGGGAGAAAGAAGGCTAAGCATAGGGTAGGGCAGTGTGAGCAGGACCAGCGGTGTCATTTGACTTAATAAATGTGGATCGAATGTCGTCAACCTTCTTTTCAAAATGTTTGACGAAGTCATCCACAGAGAGGGAGGGGGAGGAGGAGGATTCAGCAGGGAGGAGAAGGTGGCAAAGAGCTTCCTAGGGTTAGAGGCAGAGGCTTGAAATGTAGAGTGGTAGAAAGTGGCTTTAGCAGCGGAAAGAGGAAGAGAATGTAGAGAGGAGGGAGTGAAAAGATGACAGGTCCGCAGGGAGTCTAGTTTTCCTCCATTTCCGCTCAGCTGCCCAGAGTCCTCTTCTTTGAGCTCGCAATGAGTCGTCAAGCCGGCCGGGAGGATAGGGGACATAGAGAGTCAAAAGATGCAGAAAGGGAGGAGAGGAGGTTTGAGGAGGCAGAATCAGGAGATCGGAGGGAGAAGGATTTAGCAGAGGGAAGAGATTATAGGATGGAAGAGGAGAGAGTAGCGGGAGAGAGAGAGCGAAGGTTGCGACGGCACATTACCACCTGAGTAGGGGCAGAGTGATATAAAGAGCGAGAGAGAAAAGGATACAAAGTAGTGGTCGGAGACTTGGAGGGGAGTTGCAGTGAGATTAGTAGAAGAACAGCATCTAGTAAAGATGAGGTCAAGCGTATTGCCTGCCTTGTGAGTAGGGGGGGACGGTGAGAGGGTGAGGTCAAAAGAGGAAAGGAGTGGAAAGGAGGAGGCAGAGAGAAATGAGTCAAAGGCAGACGTAGGGAGGTTCAAGTCACCCAGAACTGTGAGGGGTGAGCCATCCTCAGGAAAGGAACTTTATCAAGGCGTCAAGCTCATTGATGAATTCTCCAAGGGAACCTGGAGGGCGATAAATGACAAGGATGTTATGCTTGAATGGGCTAGTGACTGTGACAGCATGGAATTCAAATGAGGAGATGGACAGATGGGTCAGTGGAAAGAGAGAATGTCCACTTGGGAGAGATGAGGATTCCTGTGCCACCGCCGCGCTGACCAGATGCTCTCGGGGTATATGTCATGGAGCATCGCCTCTTGGAACAGAGTTTAGTGGTCCCAGAGAGGCTTGATTAGTTTCAGGATTCTTGTGAAGTTGATTGGGGACGGGGTTTGCTCTACAAGCGTGTGTGCTTCCAATTGGCTCTCCCCTGTAACTATTCCCCAGGTCGTTGTTGGAAATGAGAATGTGTCAACTTACCTGGTTAAAAAAGGGTTAAATAAAAGTGTCTCGGTTGGTGGTTGCTCTCCAAACGGCTGAGCCGCAGCCCTCAGAGGACTCTGTTACGTAAGGCTGCTGAAGTGAGGACACTACGGTACAGACACACTTGCACGGACACACACGCATACACACACCAATCCCTGTAACTAGTGCCATGGGTCTTGGTAGCTGCAGTATAAAGAGGGACTGCCTAGTCTGTTTGGCTGTCTTTTTGGGATGCTGGCAGTTCTCACTCTCTCTCTCTCACTCACACACACCTACTTTGCTTCCAGTGCTCAGGGGAAATACACACGGCCTCCAGTCCTCAGGCTGGGTCTGGTTGTCCTAAGATGGTCTAACACTGACAGTCGGTCTACACAACACAACTTCAACTTCCTGTCTTTAGTTTCCCTGTATCTCTCACTTCCGCACTCTTCCATCTCTTCACGTCGGTTTCATTCCTTCCTCACTCCTTTTCTCTGTCACTCTATACTCACCAGCATCATTTTCTCATTTTCTCATTTCTCCTTCCCCCCTCCCCTTCGTCTGAGTCCTGTTCGCTTCTCTCCTTCCTTCCCTCCTCACTCTCCCCTCCCTGTCTCTTTCTCTTTCTTCCTCTCTCACTCCCTCTTCCCCCCCTCTCTCACTCCCTCTTCCCCCCTCTCCTGCCTCAGTAGCTCAGTAATATTAGCTGTGCAGTGAGCAGGCAGCGCAGTGTGTTCAGTTCTGGTGTGGTACAGAGAAGAGGGGAGTGGCGTGGAGAGCGAGCTCCAGATTTTAGCACCGTTCCTTGGTTAGCCTGTCCGAGAGTCCCCCAGCCTCTGGGCCATGTGGCTCCTTGACTGGATCGTCTCTCTCAACACCGCCATGGTCAAGCTGGCCACCGGCCTAAGGTGCAAGTGAGTAGCAGATCGGACTGTGTGTGTGTGTGTGTGTGTGTGTGTGTGTGTGTAACAGAGATTGTCTCAGCAGCCCTGGCTATAGCCCCTGGTAACTGCTGCTCTGTTCTCATTAAGCAAGCCTTAATTGTCTCATCTCTCTCTCTCTCGATTGCTGTCCTCTCTCTACCTCATCCATCTCACTCTCTCCCTCATCCCTCGCCGTCTCTCTCGCTCCCCCATCCCTCTTTCTCGCTCTCTCCGTCTCGCGCTCCACATCCCTCTCTCTCTGTCCCCCTAAATATATATTGTTCTCTCTCTCTGTCTCCCTAAATATATCTTGTTCTCTCTCTCTAAATATATCTTGTTCTCTCTCTCTCTGTCCCCCTAAATATATATTGTTCTCTCTCTCTCTGTCCCCCTAAATATATATTGTTCTCTCTCTCTCTCTGTCCCCCTAAATATATCTTGTTCTCTCTCTCTGTCCCCCTAAATATATCTTGTTCTCTCTCGCTCTCTCCCTAAATATATATTGTTCTCTCTCTCTCTCTGTCCCCCTAAATATATATTGTTCTCTCTCTCTCTCTGTCCCCCTAAATATATCTTGTTCTCTCTCTCTGTCCCCCTAAATATATCTTGTCCTCTCTTGCGCTCTCCCTAAATATATATTGTTCTCTCTCTCTCTGTCCCCCTAAATATACACTGCTCAAAAAAATTAAGGGAACACTTAAACAACACAATGTAACTCCAAGTCAATCACACTTCTGTGAAATCAAACTGTCCACTTAGGAAGCAACACTGATTGACAATAAATGTCACATGCTGTTGTGCAAATGGAATACACAACAGGTGGAAATTATAGGCAATTAGCAAGACACCCCCAATAAAGGAATGGTTCTGCAGGTGGTGACCACAGACCACTTCTCAGTTCCTATGCTTCCTGGCTGATGTTTTGGTCACTTTTGAATGCTGGCGGTGCTTTCACTCTAGTGGTAGTATGAGACGGAGTCTACAACCCACACAAGTGGCTCAGGTAGTGCAGCTCATCCAGGATGGCACATCAATGCGAGCTGTGGCAAGGTTTGCTGTGTCTGTCAGCGTAGTGTCCAGAGCATGGAGGCGCTACCAGGAGACAGGCCAGTACATCAGGAGACGTGGAGGAGGCCATAGGAGGGCAACAACCCAGCAGCAGGGCCGCTACCTCCGCCTTTGTGCAAGGAGGAGCAGGAGGAGCACTGCCAGAGCCCTGCAAAATGACCTCCAGCAGGCCACAAATGTGCATGTGTCTGCTCAAACGGTCAGAAACAGACTCCATGAGGGTGGTATGAGGGCCCGACGTCCACAGGTGGGGGTTGTGCTTACAGCCCAACACCGTGTAGGACGTTTGGCATTTGCCAGAGAACACCAAGATTGGCAAATTCGCCACTGGCGCCCTGTGCTCTTCACAGATGAAAGCAGGTTCACACTGAGCACATGTGACAGACGTGACAGAGTCTGGAGACGCCGTGGAGAACGTTCTGCTGCCTGCAACATCCTCCAGCATGACCGATTTGGCGGTGGGTCAGTCATGGTGTGGGGTGGCATTTCTTTGGGGGGCCGCACAGCCCTCCATGTGCTCGCCAGAGGTAGCCTGACTGCCATTAGGTACCGAGATGAGATCCTCAGACCCCTTGTGAGACCATATGCTGGTGCGGTTGGCCCTGGGTTCCTCCTAATGCAAGACAATGCTAGACCTCATGTGGCTGGAGTGTGTCAGCAGTTCCTGCAAGAGGAAGGCATTGATGCTATGGAATGGCCCGCCCGTTCCCCAGACCTGAATCCAATTGAGCATATCTGGGACATCATGTCTCGCTCCATCCACCAACGCCACGTTGCACCACAGACTGTCCAGGAGTTGGCGGATGCTTTAGTCAAGGTCTGGGAGGAGATCCCTCAGGAGACCATCCGCCACCTCATCAGGAGCATGCCCAGGCATTGTAGGGAGGTCATACAGGCACGTGGAGGCCACACACACTACTGTGCCTCATTTTGACTTGTTTTGACGGACATTACATCAAAGTTGGATCAGCCTGTAGTGTGGTTTTCCACTTTAATTTTGAGGGTGACTCCAAATCCAGACCTCCATGGATTGATAAATTTGATTTCCATTGATAATTTTTGTGTGATTTTGTTGTCAGCACATTCAACTATGTAAAGAAAAAAGTATTTAATAAGATTATTTCATTCATTCAGATCTAGGATGTGTTGTTTAAGTGTTCCCTTTATTTTTTTGAGCAGTGTATATTGTTCTCTCTCTCCTCTCTTGTTCCCTCTCTTTCCCCTCAAAAATCTAGGGCCCGGCTCTGACTCCATCCGTGTTAGGCCTAATTTTGGCGCTCTTTTTTTTAGATTTAATCTTAGTCATTTTGACAAAAATATAATTAAGTCTTAGTCACATTTGTCATTTAAATAATGATTTAGTCTAGTTATTGTCAAAATGACAGTGGGCCATTTTAGTCAACTAAATGTTATTTCAATTTAGTCACATTTTAGTCATCACATTTCAATTGCCTCACTAACCTTCAGTGCCTTCAGAAAGTATTCATACCCCTTGACTTATTCCACATTTTGTTACAGCCTAAATTCAAAATTGATTACATTTTCTCACCCATCCACACAAAATACCCCATAATGACAAAGTGAAAACATGTTTGCAAATGTATTGAAACTAAAATACAGATCTCATTTACACTGAACAAAAATATAAACGCAACATGTAAACTGTTGGTCCCATGTTTCATGAGCTGAAATAATGAACGATCCCAGAAATGTTTCATACGCACAAAAAGCATATTTCTCTCCACTTTTTTGCACAAATTTGTTTACATCCCGGTTATTGAGCATTTCTCCTTTGCCAAGATAATCCTTCCACCTGACAGTTGTGGCATATCAAGAAGCTGATTAAACAGCATGATCATTACACAGGTGCACCTTGTGCTGTGGACAATAAAAAGCCACTCTAAAATGTGCAGGTTTGTCACACAACACAATGCCACGGATGTCTCAAGTTTTGAGGGAGCGTGCAATTGGCATGCTGACTGCAGGATGTCCACCAGAGCTGTTGCCAGATAATTGAATGTTTATTTCTCTACCATAAGCCGCCTCCAACGTCATTTTAGAGTATTTGGCAGTACGTCCAACCGGCCTCAACTGCAGACCATGTGTATGGTGTCGGGTGGGCGAGCAGTTTGCTGATGTCAACATTGTGAACAGAGTGCCCAATGATTGCAGTGGGGTTATGGTATGGGCAGGTAGAAGCTACAGACAATGAACACAATTGCATTTTATCTATGGCAATTTGAATGCACAGAGATACCGTGACGAGATCCTGAGGCCCATTGTCGTGCCATTCATCCGCCGCCATCACCTCATGTTTCAGCATGATAATGCACGGCAATGTAGCAAGGATCTGTACACAATTCCTGGAAGCTGAAAATGTCCCAGTTCTTCTATGGCCTGCATACTCACCAGACATGTCACGCATTGAGCATGTTTGGGATGCTCTGGAGCGATGTGTATTACAGCGTGTTCCAGTTCCTGCCAATATACAGCAACTTCGCACTGCCATTGAAGAGCGGGACAACATTCCACAGGCCATGGTGGTCACACCAAATATGGACTGGTTTTCTGATCCACGCCCCTACCTTTTTTAAGGTACCTGTGACCAACAGATGCATATCTGTATTCAGTCATGTGAAATCCATATATTAGGGCCTAATGAATTTATTTCAATTGACAGATTTCCTTTTATTTGAACCAACTCAGTAAAGTCGTTGAAATTGTTGCGTTTACATTTTTGTTCAGTATACATAAGTATTCACAATGTTTAAAAAAAAAAAAAGGCTTCCTTTTCACTCTGTCTTTTAGGTTAGTATTGTGGAGTAAGTACAATGTTGTTGAGCCATCCTCAGTTTTCTATCACAGCCATTAAACTCTGTAACTGTTTTAAAGTCACCATTGGCCTCATGGTGAAATCCCTGAGTGGTTTCCTTCCTCTCCGGCAACTGAGTTAGGAAGGATGCTTGTGTCTTTGTAGTAAATAACTGGGTTTATTGATAATAACTTCACCTCAAAGAGATATTCAATGTCTGCTTTGTATTTTTACCAATAGGTGCTTTTCTTTGTTGAATCTGTTTGAAATTCACTGCTCGACTCAAGGACCTTACAGATAATTGTATTTTTGTGGTACAGAGATTAAGTAGTCATTAAAAAATCCTGTTAACCATTATTATTGCACACAGAGTGTGCAACTTATGTGACTTTTTAAGCACATTTTTACTCCTGAACTTATTTAGGCTTACCATAACAGAGGGGTTGAATACTTCACTCAAGACATTTCAGCTTTTCATTTTTAATTAAATTGTATTGTGTGTAGGCCAGTGTCAAAAATCTACATTTAATCCATTTTAAATTCGGGCTGTTATGGTGACCGTATTACCGCCTCACCAGCAGTCACGAGTCATCCAGGCTCTGTCGTAGCCGGCCGCGACCGGGAGACCCATGGGGCGGCGCACAATTGGCCCAGCGTTGTCCAGGGTAGGGGAGGGAATGGCCGGCAGGGATGTAGCTCAGTTGGTAGAGCATGGCGTTTGCAATGCCAGGGTTGTGGGTTCGATTCCCACGGGGGGCCAGTATAAAAAATAAAATAAAATAAAACATGTATGCACTCACTAACTGTAAGTCGCTCTGGATAAGAGCGTCTGCTAAATGACTAAAATGTAAATGTAAATGACCGCAGTCAAATTACAGTAACTAGTCTTCTCCAAGCTCTGATGCTGCTGATGGTCATTAGTAGCCTACCAAACTTGCTAACTGCCTGGTACTCCGCACTCTATTGTCCCTCTAATCACTCGGACATCATTGCAAGTGTGTTAAAAAAATCTAATCAAACACTTCATGAGAGCCCATGCGCTGATGTTGCACTCATTTCTATAGGCTATGCAATTGGGTGAGAAAATAGTTTTGATGGCCTGTAATAAAAAAAGGATCCCATCCGCTTTCTATAGGCTAGGCCTACTATATTTATTTCTCAACTTTCCTAATATTAAGCACATTGCTTATATTTACAACAGGAGTATATCCTACCTGGCTGGCATGAAAAGGAACCACGGGAAAAGCATCCTCCATTCGCTTTTTTTTTTTCCCCTTTCAAGACAGGTGCATGATAATGGTCCATTCTAAATCAAACTAATGTCACACATATTTAGTATATGTAAAGACAAGATTAAGTTAAGAATAGTATGATGTGTGACAATATTAGACTATCACTTGTGAATGATGCCCAGCGTGTGCAGTAAGGCAAGAAACAGCACAGGCCTTTTTTTGTTGACTTTCTCAAATCATAGTCGCACACCTCGTGTAGCCTAGCCCAACTAAAGTGGCCAATGAACTTCATAAAATGAAGCACATTAATCCGCTTTACAAGGGGTGTAGAGCCTAACTGGTATACATAGGCGGCGCGTGAGTTTCAAGTTTGGGAAATATTATTTTCACCATAAAAATGCACCTTTTAATAATAAAGCATTACACGCATAATCACATTTGCGGTCACTTTTGAGAACTGTGTTTTCCCGAGAATTGATTGCATTTTGGAACGTTTGCGCTTAGAGCCTACTGCCGTGTTGCGCATGGCTGCGCTTCAAATGTGAAGAAATAGCCGAATAGTTTATCAACATTTTAAGCTATCTGTTGCATCAGCCTGATTAGCTTTTAAAATGTTTTTTTTTTTTTTTTATGTGAGTGGTTGTATTCATTTGGGATCGATCGCATCCCACAACTGTCCCACAGTATGTTTGGAATATTTATTGCACAAAAGACACGTTGACCAATAGAATAGGAAAATGGTTTGGGGATTGACAGGCTAGTGCTGTTGCTGTTCGTTAGGCCTACTCATCTTGTTGGCTGACAAAGTAAATGTGGACAGTTCTACCATCTTCAATATGGAATTCGATAAGGACGCGTGCAATTGCGTCCCAAGTGTGTCTGTCTTCGCTTGTAACTGAGATGCCTGTGAGAAGGACCCGTTCACGTGACAGGCATTTGTTAATAAGAATTTAGATATCTGAGAGAGCCATGTGAGTGAGAGGTGCTTCGGAGCGTGGCGATTGGCAGCTGGGAGAAGGGAATTATTATATTCAGTCCAAGGGCACAACGGTCACTTTGGCCGCAAAAGGCATGGATTTTTTTTAGGGGCCATTATGGCCACACAAGGGTGATGCCGCTGGGAAATCCGAGGCCTAGTGAGAATATTGTCAAGTGCTTTTCAAATTGTGAACGTGCAGCCTGCACAAGAAACAAAGCAGAGCTCATGCCTTTCATGCAACTTTTTTCAAATCATCATTAGTCGCATCATGCAGCCTTAATGTATTAAAAATCTAAACATACAGTGGGGGAAAAAAGTATTTAGTCAGCCACCAATTGTGCAAGTTCTCCCACTTAAAAAGATGAGAGGCCTGTAATTTTCATCATAGGTACACGTCAACTATGACAGACAAAATGAGAGAAAAAATTCCAGAAAATCACATTGTAGGATTTTTAATGAATTTATTTGCAAACTATGTGGAAAATAAGTATTTGGTCAATAACAAAAGATTCTCAATACTTTGTTATATACCCTTTGTTGGCAATGACACAGGTCAAACGTTTTCTGTAAGTCTTCACAAGGTTTTCACACACAGTTGCTGGTATTTTGGCCCATTCCTCCATGCAGATCTCCTCTAGAGCAGTGATGTTTTGGGGCTGTCGCTGGGCAACACGGACTTTCAACTCCCTCCAAAGATTTTCTATGGGGTTGAGATCTGGAGACTGGCTAGGCCACTCCAGGACCTTGAAATGCTTCTTACGAAGCCACTCCTTCGTTGCCCGGGCGGTGTGTTTGGGATCATTGTCATGCTGAAAGACCCAGCCACGATTCATCTTCAATGCCCTTGCTGATGGAAGGAGGTTTTCACTCAAAATCTCACGATACATGGCCCCATTCATTCTTTCCTTTACACGGATCAGTCGTCCTGGTCCCTTTGCAGAAAAACAGCCCCAAAGCATGATGTTTCCACCTCCATGCTTCACAGTAGGTATGGTGTTCTTTGGATGCAACTCAGCATTCTTTGTCTTCCAAACACGACGAGTTTAGTTTTTACCAAAAAGTTATATTTTGGTTTCATCTGACCATATGACATTCTCCCAATCCTCTTCTGGATCATCCAAATGCACTCTAGCAAACTTCAGACGGGCCTGGACATGTACTGGCTTAAGCAGGGGGACACGTCTGGCACTGCAGGATTTGAGTCCCTGGCGGCGTAGTGTGTTACTGATGGTAGGCTTTGTTACTTTGGTCCCAGCTCTCTGCAGGTCATTCACTAGGTCCCCCCGTGTGGTTCTGGGATTTTTGCTCACCGTTCTTGTGATCATTTTGACCCCACGGGGTGAGATCTTGTGTGGAGCCCCAGATCGAGGGAGATTATCAGTGGTCTTGTATGTCTTCCATTTCCTAATAATTGCTCCCACAGTTGATTTCTTCAAACCAAGCTGCTTACCTATTGCAGATTCAGTCTTCCCAGCCTGGTGCAGGTCTACAATTTTGTTTCTGGTGTCCTTTGACAGCTCTTTGGTCTTGGCCATAGTGGAGTTTGGAGTGTGACTGTTTGAGGTTGTGGACAGGTGTCTTTTTATACTGATAAGTTCAAACAGGTTCAAACATTAATACAGGTAACGAGTGGAGGACAGTGGAGCCTCTTAAAGAAGAAGTTACAGGTCTGTGAGAGCCAGAAATCTTGCTTGTTTGTAGGTGACCAAATACTTATTTTCCACCATAATTTGCAAATAAATTCAAAAAAAATCCTACAATGTGATTTTCTGGATTTTTTTCGCTCAATTTGTCTGTCATAGTTGACGTGTACCTATGATGAAAATTACAGGCCTCTCTCATCTTTTTAAGTGGGAGAACTTGCACAATTGGTGGCTGACTAAATACTTTTTTTCCCCCACTGTATAGCCCAACGTTTGGGTTACAACTAAAGTTGCATAAATAACTCTAAATTAAGCATATAGGAGGACCTGTTTCTTCGTTAACTGTTCAACACAGAATAGCCGCATGTGCGCACTCCCTCGGAAATCGTTTGGCGATGATATCTGACACAGTGAAAAATATCTGGTTCTGCCCTTCAGCAAGGCAGTTAACCCCCCCCCCCCCCCCCCACACACAACAACAGCCAATGTGGGAAGACCAGTGGCAGCCCCCCACACCTCTCCGATTCAGAGGGGTTTGTCCAAAAGCGTATGTCAAGTTTCTGTTGGACCTTGTGTGCAACTGACGATAAAAATAATTGTGCCTTATTTGCATAAATAATTGTTTTGCCACCAGATTGGAGAACGGTTGCCGGGCAGAGGTGACTCATGAAAGACCTGGGCATGGTATTTATTTTCCACCGATCACAGCATTGCAACATTGCAGTGAGAAAGCCATACAATTCTGCTAAAGTCATGAATGCTTTTGATTGGACCAAACAAATAACACTGAAAAGCTCCCAATCTCTCCAACTATTGTCCAGTCCACTTATTAGTCAGATTTTAGTCACACAGATAATTTCGTCTCGTTTTAATCAACCGAAATGAAAAATAATTTTAGTTTAGTTATAGTTTTTTTCTGGGTCTATTTAGTCTGTTCTTCATATGTGGGTACGCAGCCACTGTGGCCCCTCATGATTTCAGATTTTTTGTGGCCCCCACCCCCATCAAAGTTGCCCATCCCTGCTCTAGTCTTTTCCCTGCCTCCCAATGCTGACCATTGTCCCACAGATTTAGAAAGGGAAGACCAGTCAGTTCCAGTTGTGTTATCCAGGGCATTGGACTGTGTTACTGCAGTGTTTCTCTAACACACTGGAATTCTCTGCTCCATTTTCCTCCTCTCTCTGTCTCTCAATCTCCCCCCCCCCCCCTCTCCCCTCAACCCCTCTCTCTCCCCCCTCTCTCTTCCTCTCTTCCCCTCTCTCTCCCCCCTCTCTCTTCCTATCTTCCCTTTCTCTCTGCGCCTCTTTCTCCATCATTCTGACATGGTCTCTTTCCCCCCTCACTTTGTCTCTCTCTCTCTCTCTGTCTCTCTGTCTCTCTCTCTCTCTCTCTCTCTCTCTCTCTCTCTCCTCACTCATCCCTCTCTCTCCTCTCTCATCTCTCTCCCCCTCTCTGCTCTCCCCTCTGCCCCCCTCTCTGTCCCCTCCCCCTCGCTGCTCCCCCTTCTCTGTCCCCCTCCTCTCTCTGTCTCTCACTCTCTCTCTCTCTGTGTGTGCATAGCTACTCCTGCTCATTATATAACCCATTTCTTTCTGCAGTGTGTGTGTGTTGGACTGCAGGGAGCGAGCTAGTCTAACCAAGCCCCAAGCAGTGAGAGGGAGTTTGTTAGGACATGAGGAGAATGGATGTTAGGGGGCGGGTAAGGAGCACTGCAGACTGTGTGTGTGCTCAGATAGAAGGCTACAGAACTACTGTTGTAAGACTGACTGGCTGTCTCGCTGACTGACTGACTGACTGACTGACTGGCTGTCTCGCTGACTGACTGACTGACTGACTGACTGGCTGTCTCGCTGACTGACTGACTGACTGGCTGTCTCGCTGACTGACTGGCTGTCTCGCTGACTGACTGACTGACTGGCTGTCTCGCTGACTGACTGACTGACTGACTGACTGGCTGTCTCGCTGACTGACTGACTGACTGGCTGTCTCGCTGACTGACTGACTGACTGGCTGTCTCGCTGACTGACTGACTGACTGGCTGTCTCGCTGACTGACTGACTGACTGGCTGTCTCGCTGACTGACTGACTGACTGGCTGTCTCGCTGACTGACTGGCTGTCTCGCTGACTGACTGACTGACTGGCTGTCTCGCTGACTGACTGACTGGCTGTCTCGCTGGCTGGCTGACTGGCTGTCTCGCTGGCTGTCTCGCTGGCTGACTGACTGACTGGCTGGCTGTCTTGCTGGCGGTCTCGCTGGCTGTCTCGCTGGCTGTCTCGCTGGCGGTCTCGCTGACTGGCTGGCTGGCGGTCGGTGAGTGTACCAGGCAGGCGTTAAAAACAAGAAAAGTCCTCCTCTTAGTCTAGCTGGTGAGTCACATTCTCGTGTTTGTTTTCTCTGCCAGAAGTTAAGATCATTCAGTCAGAATCCTCAGAACTTTGCATTTAGAATTTCTTCTGAGGTGTTGTAGCTCTTCTCAGGGTTCACGCAGCACAGGGAGATCTAGACGTCATGTTTGTTGACCTGACAAATTGTTTAATGCGAAATGTTAGCATATCTCAGGTGGTGTAACTTCGAATGGCAGCCAGGTAGCGGAGCCAACACATCCAGCTCCAGCTATTGCCCTGCTCTGCTGTTTCTCTGTGCTGTCTGGGCATTGCAAGACTTTGGTAGAATACCAGCGTTGAATGTTAGCATATCTCCAGTGGTTTGAATGGCTGGTAGCTAGCCTAGCACTAACGCATCAAGCTCCAGCTATTATCCTGCTCTGCTGTGTCTCTGTGCTGTTTGTCTAGGCATTGAGTTCAGCTGTGGAGGCATTGATTACTCTGGGGGGGGGGGGGCTTCACAATCACTATTTTTTGTTGTACTTTTCCCCCCTTTTCCCCCAAATTTCATGATATCCAATTGGTAGTTAGTCTTGTCCCATCGCTGCAACTCCCATGCGGACTCGGGAGAGGCGAAACACGACCCCGCCAAGCCGCACTGCTTCTTGACACACTGCTCGCTTAACCCGGAAGCCAGCCCCACCAATGTGTCGGAGGAAACGGCGTACAGCTGGCGACCGAAGCCAGCATGCATGCGCCTGACCCACCACGTGGAGTCGCTAGAGCGCGACTGGACAAGGACATCCCAGCTGGCCAAACCCTCCCCTAACCCGGAAGACGCTGCAACGCCTCATGGGTCTTCCGGTCGCGGCCGGCTGCGACACAGCCTGGGATCGAACCAGGATCTGTAGTGACTCCTCTAGCACTGATCAGTGCCTTAGACCGCTGCGCCACTCGGGAGACCCTTCACAATCACTTTTAACCACTTAACAAGCCTGGAGGGAACATTGTCTATATGCACACCCTTTGCCTTGATGACAGCTTTGCACACTCTTGGCATTCTCTCAACCAGCTTCGTGGAATTTTAAGTCCATATTATGGCAAGAACAGCTCAAATAAGCAAAGAGAAACGACAGTCCATCATTACTTTAAGACATGAACATTTCAAGAACTTTGAAAGTTTCTTCAAGTGTGGTTGTAAAAACCAAGCGCTATGATGAAACTGGCGCTCATGAGGACCGCCACAGGATAAGTTCATTAGAGTTACCAGCCTCAGAAATTGCAGCTCAAATAAATGCTTCACAGAGTTCAAGTAACAGACACATCTCAATATCAACTGTTCAGTAGAAACTGTGTGAATCAGGCCTTCATGGTCGAATTGCTGCAAAGAAACCACTACTAAAGGACACCAATAAGAAGAAGAGACTTGCATGGCCAAGAAGCACGAGCAATGGACATTAGACCGGTGGAGATGTGTCCTTTGGTCTAGAGTCCAACTTGGAGATTGTTGGTTCCAACCGCCGTGTCTTGTGAGACGTGGTGTGGGCGAACGGATGATCTCTGCATGTGTATTTCCCAACGTAAAGCATGGAGGTGGAGGTGTTATGGTGTGGGGGTGCTTTGCTGGTGACACTGTCAGATTTATTTAGAATTCAAGGCACACTTAACCAGCATGGCTACCACAGAATTCTGCAGCTTTACGCCATCCCATCTGGTTTGGGCTTAGTGGGACTACCATTTGTTTTTCAACAGGACAATGACCCAACACACCTCCAGGTTGTGTAAGGGCTATTTTACCGAGAAGGAGAGTGATGGAGTGCTGTATTAGATAACCTGGCCTCCACAATCCCCCGACCTCATCCAAATTTAGATGGTTTGGTATGAGTCGGACCGCAAAGTGAAGGAAAAGCAGCCAACAAGTGCTCAGCATATGTGGGAACTCCTTCAAGACTGTTGGAAAAGCATTCCTCATGAAGCTGGTTGAGAGAATGTCAAGAGTGAGCAAAGCTGTCATCAAGACAAAGGGTGGCTACTTTGAAGAATCTCAAATATAATATATATTTTGATTTTTTTAACACTTTTTTTGGTTACTACTTGATTCCATATGTGTAATTTCATAGTTTTGATGTGTTCACTATTGATGTCTTCACTATTATTCTACAATACTCTTCCTAGAGCTGGCCGCCCAGCCAAACTGAGAAATCGGGGGAGAAGGGCCTTGGTCAGGGAGGTGACCAAGAACCCAATGGTCACTCTGACAGAGTTCCAGAGTTCCTCTGTGGAGATGGGAGAACTTTCCAGAAGGACAACCGTCTCTGCAGCACTCCACCAATCAGGCCTTTTATGGTAGTGGCCAGACGGAAGCCACTCCTCAGTAAAAGGCACATGACAGCCTGCTTGGAGTTTGCCAAAAGGCACCTAAAGGACTCTGACCATGAGAAACAGGATTCTCTGGTCTGATGAAACCAAGATCAAACTCTTTGGCCTTAATGCCAAGCGTCACGTCTGGAGGAAACTTAGCACCATCCCTACTGTGAAGCATGGTGTTTTCAGCAGCAGGGACTGGGAGACTAGTCAAGATCGAGGGAAAGATGAACGGAGCAAAGTACAGAGAGATCCTTGATGAAAACCTGCTCCAGAGCGCTCAGGACCTCATACTGCGGTCAAAGGTTCACCTTCCAACAGGACAACGTCCCTAAGCACACAGCCAAGACAACGCAGGAGTGGCTTCGGGACAAGTCTCAATGGCCTTGATTGGCCCAGCCAGAGCCTGGACTTGAACCAGATCAAAGATCTCTGGAGAGACCTGAAAATAGCTGTGCAGTTTCGCTCCCCATCCAACCTGACAGAGCTTGAGAGGATCTGCAGAGAAGAATGAGAGTAACTCCCCAAATACAGGTGTGCCAGGCTTGTAGCGTTATACCAAAGAAGACTCAAGGCTGTAATCGCTTACGGCTGTAAGTACTGAGTAAATGGTCTGAATACTTCTGTAAATGTGATATTTCCGTTTTTTTATTTTGAATAAATTGGCAACATTTTCTAACAACCTGTTTTTGCTTTGTCGTTATGGGTTATTGTGTGTGTATTTAGGGGGAAAAACAATTTAATCCATTTTACATTTTAGTCATTTAGCAGACGCTCTTATCCAGAGCGACTTACAGTTAGTGAGTGCATACATTTTTCATACTGGCCCCCTGTGGGAATCGAACCCACAACCCTGGCGTTGCAAGCGGCATGCTCTACCAACTGAGCTACAGGATGCCCTGTACATTTTAGAGTAAGGCTGTAACGTAACAAAATGTGGAAAAAGTCAAGGGGTCTGAATACTTTCGAATGCACTGTATAAGCAACCCATGCTAGTTGTTGCATATTAGATCTGCCCTCTTACTAAATTTCTAACTGATATTTTCATGTAACATAAATCAAATTTTATTTGTCACATACACGTGTTTTAGCAGATGTTATAGCGGGTGTAGCGAAATGCTTGTGCTTCTAGAACTGCTTGCATGTGCAGTGCGTTTATGACAATGGGTTTCCCCGCTAATTGCATTATGGAACGAACATTCGCGCGTAGCGTACTGCCTTGTGCAAAAATGTCACAATGTCGTCATAATATATGCACAAACTCTACCAAACTGTTTCGGCTGGGAAGCATGCGGATGCCTTTAGGGGGTAAGTGTTCGGTTTGAGATTCAGCCTATGGCTGAGGTAGATAGAATTTCATTGCCCCCTAGCGGACATATACAATAGGACCATATTCTGCATTGTCAATTCACGTGGAATTCTATCCGTTTTTCTTAACGTTTTTTTTTTTTTACAGAAATCCGATTTTAAACATTAAGAAAACGTTTCCATTTGTCACATCCCTACTGAGTATTATATGAATTCACTCACAGTACGATGATAGCGGAAGGTTAAGGCAGTCAGATAAAGACTGACTGAAAGAGGAGTGTACGCCGAGAGAGAGAAGGGGAGAGCGATTGAATAGAGACAGAGATGGTGATAATGTGTTAAAAAAAGAGAAGAGGGACTGGGTGGAATGAGAGAGGGATGTTTTGGTCTGAGGAGGAGGAAGTGAGAGCGTTCTTCACCTGCAATGCAATGCGGGGCTGAGTAAACCAATCAGAGCTTTGCAGAGAGGAGAGGGGGTGGGGCCAGGCCACTGACTACAGCGAAGGAGAGTTCTCGTCAGAGCGGGAGAGAGTGAATGAGCGAGAGGGAGGGAGGGAGGGAGAGAGAAGCGGCGTCAAACTCCTCTGCTTTGCCTGAGCCTGTGGCGACACTGATTCTCACAGATTTCTCTTCTCTCATCCTTCTCTCTTCTCTCACCCTTCTCTCATCCTCCTCTCCTCTCTGCATTGCTCCCTTCTCTTCCTTTCCCATTGCTGTGCTCTTCTCTTCCTTTCCCATTGCTGTGCTCTTCTCTTCCACTCTTTCCCTGTACTTCCCCCCTCTTTTTTCTGAACTACTACCGTCTGCTCTCTTCTTCCTCTCCTCTTTACACTCACCCCCCTCTTTCTCTCCTCATTCCCATTTACATTTACAGTCATTTAGCTGACGCTCTTATCCAGAGCGACTTACAGTTAGTGAGTGCATACACTTTTGGTACGTGGAGAGAGGGTCTCTGGCCCCCACCTGCACCCCTCCTCTCTCTCTCTCTCCACCTCCCTCCATGGGCATCCGCGCATCCTGCATGTAAGCAGGAGAGTGTGTGTCGGGGTCTCTGCACTTGCATGTCCTTGAAGTACCCCTGCTGTGAGTGTGTGTGTGAGCTGTAACAGCTGGACTCTGTCCTCTCCGGTTTGAGGACGCAGAAGAGACAGTTCAGGGATTTAGGGAGAGGAGAGTCTGTCTGCAAACACTGTATGTCTCTCTGGTGCTCTAGCTCAGTGTTTTCTAATTCCGGTCCTCCAGTACCCCTCAACAGTACACACGTTTGCTGTAACCCCGGACAAGCACACCTGATTCAACTTTATTATCACACCCTTGATGAGTTGAATGAGGTGTGTTTGTCTGGGGCTACAATAAAAAAAAGTGTACTGTTGGGAGCAGTGGCGGCTCCTGAAAAAATTCTCAGGAGGGGCAATTTTTCTGATGATTTAGGTGACCTACACACATTTTTAAAAAGATATGTCCAGCAACAACATGAAGACAGGGGCAGCATATAAGTCAATACCAGAAGCATTTATTGACTGATCTCAAAAGTGTTGGCTTACAAAAGCAAAATAAGTTATCACAGTAAAAATAATCAAGGGTGTTCTTTCACATTCCTCAACACTGCATAAACAATATGTATGGCTTTGTAAAAATGAACAACCATATTCTGGCCAATTGTATAGATTTGTAAATATGAACAACCATATTCTGGCCAATTGTATAGATTTGTAAAAATGAACATGAACAGATTTTTTATTTTTTTGAATGGCAGTACCTTTCAAACATGTCTGCTTGCAGTAAGGTAGCACTCACAAGGTGGCCAGAGAAAGAGAACCTTTCTTTGGTGTGATCCAGGATGGTGTTGCAGACCTCTTCAGACATCCTCTGCTTCTCCTCTTCTCTCAAAGCTGTTCTGGGTCTTTTGGCTCCTGTTGCTTCTTGCAGCTGCTGTTGAGAGGAGTCCCTGAAGGCAAACAGACCAATGTGTTTGTTGGCTTTGTACAGTATTGTTGTCTATGTGATGCACAGGTATATGCAATGTATCCATGTATAGTACAAATACTTCAGTTCCACTTAAAATGGGCAGGGATGCATAAAGTCTTTAGTGTTTAAGTTAGCCTTTGTGTCTCACATAGCCTGGATGTTCAGCACAGTATACAGTGGTGCTCATAAGCTTATGATCCCATGCTAAAGTTGACTAAAAAGAGGAATAAAAAAGAAAAGAAAATTGGTGTCCTTAAAGGTTGGATTTTCCAACTTTTTTAATTAAGTCATTAAGATCAATTTCCAAAAGATGATTTTTTTATTTTTTTATTCCTCTTTTTAGTCAGCTTTAGAATGTGTTCATACACTTATGAGCACCACTGTACAGTACACATAGTATATAAAATAAGATAGATTACACCACTGGCCATATATAATGACAATAATGTAATTTCAAACACAAATGCAGTCTCCTTTCATGCATACATTTTCAAATAAAGCTCTGCTTTGAGAAAGATCGAATGATATTGTTTAATCTTTATCTTACCTTATGGCCTGCACACTGCTTGCGAAGCTGTCGAGGGCACGTTTGATAAAGACAGCATCGATGTCCTTATTCTGTAGCTTCTGGTACGGTGGGCTGGTCAAATGAACCCAATGAACCCGTCCGGATGGCTTCAAAACATTCTATGAGGTCGTCTCGATTCTCGTAGACAGTGTTCACGACTCTGCTGTTGCTAACCTCATCGTTGTGGCGGCGGACAGCTAGCCTGTATCCCTCATCCAGTTGAGTGGCAATATTCACTCTCACCAAAGCAGACAATCTCAAACAGCTATCAATGTGGGTCTTTGACAGCTCATTTTACTTAATCTTTTCTGAAAGATGGTGCATGTCGGTTACACCAGTCGCTGTCCAAGCGTTGCTGTCTGCCGTTCATGGTTACGTTACGTTACGTATGACGAAAGCGCGTAAGTGCAAGCCCTCAGACACCCATAGAGAATGTATTGAAAGCTCAGAAATTTGAAAAAAAAATTTTTTACATTAGAGGCTATGAGAGACTTCTGGGCGATTTTCAACCTGACTGAAATCGCCCCAAAACGGGCGGGGACATTTGAAGCACGACTTTAGCCTGATTGGACATTTAGTGGCTGGCAGATCAGACGTGAACACTGAACTACTGTTGCCATGATATAATTGATTAGAAAAAAAATCCCTTCCTTTTCCCGTTTGGCAGTGCGTCGCCCATATCGCCCTATTGAACACACCGCCCATGGTTGGGAGTACTGTAGGACTGGAGTGGGGAACCACTTCTCTAGCCTAACTGAGAATGTAATGGTGCTCAGGGGAGGTTTGTGGCTCTGGTCAAGGTGGTCAAGGTTAGACAGGCAAAGTCGTAATGGGCGAAACGGGACAATAATGGAAAGAGGTGTGTGTTTGCATGAATTGTGTGTGTGTGTGTTGGGTAAAAATGCAACAGCGTTGCAGGTGTGACGGTTGCTCATCAATGGAGATGGGGAAAATGGCTATGACATTTTGTCTACACCTCCTTCCCTTTCATGATTGTCTGGCTCTCTCTCTCTCTCTCCCTCTCTCCTTGATCTCGCTGATTATATCCCTTTCCCCTTTGTCTGATTAGTCTTGCGTTGTCATGTTGGGTGAGCATCAACAGAGGCAGGTGTTCAGGTCTGTGTGGTTGGAAGGAACCAGGGGACCTGGGTCTGTTTTACCCTCCATCACTGACTGAGACACTCACAATTCATCCACAGGTGTGAGGTTTGGAGTGCAGCTGTGGCGGTTATGACATTTTGTCTGCCGGTTATTGACATGCAAAAGATTGTCTGTCTCACGGTAATTGATCGTTAATTAACAGAAACATGTTGCGCGTCTTTGGAAAATTTACAGTGAGGGGAAAAAAGTATTTGATCCCCTGCTGGTTTTGTACGTTTGCCCACTGACAAAGACATGATCAGTCTATAATTTTAATGGTAGGTTTATTTGAACAGTGAGAGACAGAATAACAACAACAAAAATCCAGAAAAACGCATGTAAAAAATGTTATAAATTGATTTGCATTTTAATGAGGGAAATAAGTATTTGACCCCTCTGCAAAACATGACTTAGTGCTTGGTGGCAAAACCCTTGTTGGCAATCACAGAGGTCAGACGTTTCTTGTAGTTGGCCACCAGTTTTGCACACATCTTAGGAGGGATTTTGTCCCACTCCTCTTTACAGATCTTCTCCAAGTCATTAAGGTTTCGAGGCTGACGTTTGGCAACTCGAACCTTCAGCTCCCTCCACAGATTTTCTATGGGATTAAGGTATGGAGACTGGCTAGGCCACTCCAGGACCTTAATGTGCTTCTTCTTGAGCCACTCCTTTGTTGCCTTGGCCGTGTGTTTTGGGTCATTGTCATGCTGGAATACCCATTCACGACCCATTTTCAATGCCCTGGCTGAGGGAAGGAGGTTCTCACCCAAGATTTGACGGTACATGGCCCTGTCCATCGTCCCTTTGATGCGGTGAAGTTGTCCTGTCCCCTTAGCAGAAAAACACCCCCAAAGCATAATGTTTCCACCTCCATGTTTGACGGTGGGGATGGTGTTTTTGGGGTCATAGGCAGCATTCCTCTTCCTCCAAACACGGCGAGTTGAGTTGATGCCAAAGAGCTCGATTTTGGTCTCATCTGACCACAACACTTTCACCCAGTTCTCCTCTGAATCATTCAGATGTTCATTGGCAAACTTCAGACGGGCCTGTATATGTGCTTTCTTGAGCAGGGGGACCTTGCGGGCGCTGCAGGATTTCAGTCCTTCACGGCGTAGGGTGTGTTACCAATTGTTTTCTTGGTGACTATGGTCCCAGCTGCCTTGGGATCATTGACAAGATCCTCCCGTGTAGTTCTGGGCTGATTCCTCACCGTTCTCATGATCATTGCAACTTCACGAGGTGAGATCTTGCATGGAGCCCCAGGCAGAGGGAGATTGACAGTTCTTTTGTGTTTCTTCCATTTGCGAATAATCGCACCAACTGTTGTCACCTTCTCACCAAGCTGCTTGGCGATGTTCTTGTAGCCCATTCCAGCCTTGTGTAGGTCTACAATCTTGTCCCTGACATCCTTGGTCTTGGCCATGGTGGAGAGTTTGGAATCTGATAGATTGATTGCTTCTGTGGACAGGTGTCTTTTATACAGGTAACAAACTGAGATTAGGAGCACTCCCTTTAAGAGTGTGCTCCTAATCTCAGCTCGTTACCTGTATAAAAGACACCTGGGAGGCAGAAATCTTTCTGATTGAGAGGGGGTCAAATACTTATTTCCCTCATTTAAAATGCAAATCAATTTATAACAATTTTGAAATGCGTTTTTCTGGATTATTTTGTTGTTCTGTCTCTCACTGTTCAAATAAACCTACCATTAAAATTATAGACTGATCATTTCTTTGTCAGTGGGCTAACGTACAAAATCAGCAGGGGATCAAATACTTTTTTCCCTCACTGTACATATCATTTCAAAAAGTATAATAAATCAATTTAATATACACCATCAAAATATATTCATTATTTATTTATTTTAGGCAGGTCTAAAGAAACATCATGATATGAAGAAAAAGTATTTCAGAAGAACAGAATATGAGTTGGCCTACTGTATGTTATCTGGCTATGCGCCATGCTGTAGGCTTGTTCATTTAGCAGAGAATATATGATTAAGTCCCCTGCCATTGTTCTATGATTTTATAAGAATAATATAATTTAACGGAATAAAATAGAAATAATATTTTTCCCATTCCAGAGCAAAGTGCAAAGTGGCTATTTAGAGCGTAAAAGTGATCATTGAAGAGTTATTTGTGAAGTCTTAGAAATCAAAACATATATGGGCTGCATGATGCGACTATAGGCTATTGATGATTTGAGAAAGTAAAACATTTTTAAAAAAAACTTGCGCTCCGGTTATTTTTAAACGATACATCAACCACTGTTTGAGGAGCATGCAGCCTTTCGCTGCACGACAGATATTCCAGTCCAAACTCTGTATGCCATGTGCTCTCCAACCCAGTTCCTCCAGCTACCCGGTACTCTGTATGCCATGTGCTCTCCAACCCAGTTCCTCCAGCTACCCAGTACTCTGTATGCCATGTGCTCTCCAACCCAGTTCCTCCAGCTACCCGGTACTCTGTATGCCATGGGCTCTCCAACCCAGTTCCTCCAGCTACCCAGTACTCTGTATGCCATGGGCTCTCCAACCCAGTTCCTCCAGCTACCCAGTACTCTGTATGCCATGTGCTCTCCAACCCAGTTCCTCCAGCTACCCGGTACTCTGTATGCCATGTGCTCTCCAACCCAGTTCCTCCAGCTACCCAGTACTCTGTATGCCATGGGCTCTCCAACCCAGTTCCTCCAGCTACCCAGTACTCTGTATGCCATGTGCTCTCCAACCCAGTTCCTCCAGCTACCCAGTACTCTGTATGCCATGTGCTCTCCAACCCAGTTCCTCCAGCTACCCAGTACTCTGTATGCCATGTGCTCTCCAACCCAGTTCCTCCAGCTACCCAGTACTCTGTATGCCATGGGCTCTCCAACCCAGTTCCTCCAGCTACCCAGTACTCTGTATGCCATGGGCTCTCCAACCCAGTTCCTCCAGCTACCCAGTACTCTGTACGCCATGGGCTCTCCAACCCAGTTCCTCCAGCTACCCAGTACTCTGTACGCCATGTGCTCTCCAACCCTGTTCCTGCAGCTACCCAGTACTCTGTATGCCATGTGCTCTCCAACCCAGTTCCTCCAGCTACCCAGTACTCTGTATGCCATGGGCTCGCCAACCCAGTTCCTCCAGCTACCCAGTACTCTGTATGCCATGTGCTCTCCAACCCAGTTCCTCCAGCTACCCAGTACTCTGTATGCCATGTGCTCTCCAACCCAGTTCCTCCAGCTACCCAGTACTCTGTATGCCATGTGCTCTCCAACCCAGTTCCTCCAGCTACCCAGTACTCTGTATGCCATGTGCTCTCCAACCCAGTTCCTCCAGCTACCCAGTACTCTGTATGCCATGGGCTCTCCAACCCAGTTCCTCCAGCTACCCAGTACTCTGTATGCCATGTGCTCTCCAACCCAGTTCCTCCAGCTACCCAGTACTCTGTATGCCATGTGCTCTCCAACCCAGTTCCTCCAGCTACCCAGTACTCTGTATGCCATGTGCTCTCCAACCCAGTTCCTCCAGCTACCCAGTACTCTGTATGCCATGGGCTCTCCAACCCAGTTCCTGCAACTACCCAGTACTCTGTATGCCATGGGCTCTCCAACCCAGTTCCTGCAACTACCCAGTGCTTAATTTGGGAAAGCAAGTGAAATATTTTCAGGAACATCGATAGTACCATGTTTTCACAACTAAACATATTTCATTAAACTGTTGACAGCCACTCTCTGCGCACTCGAGAAAGGAATGAAGGAGAGAGGTTAGATGGAAACGCACGGCGGTGAGATTCTGTAGCTGAAGGTAATGTCAGCCTATTAATTATGAAAATATAAAAATGCCCTGTTACTTGGCTATTCAAATACAAATTCACTATAATTGTAGGCTAACTGTAAGCTGCCCTGCACAATCAATGAACCAACAGCATCGCCTAGGCCTATATGTTCTCTCCCAGACTCATGGATTGAAAGTTCAGAGCGTAGCATGCGGTAACCAGTCCATCCAGTATGCATAATAATACAGTCCACACTCAAAGGCGATTTACTAGAATTTAGGATTATAGGCTAGACTAATTATGTACTAAAGACATCTTAAATCAGTTTTTCTTTTCTATGTATTGCATAACGGCACAATCCATTATTTTAATTCAGGATTTTTTTCCCGGGCTTGGCCTCATCCACAACGACCGTGTTGGAGGGAGAGAGTGTAGAGGACGTGGGACAGAATATAGCAGACTACAACTTTGGGTAAGGGGGGGGGGGGGGGGGGGAGAACAGCACAGCAGCAAACATTGAAGGGAGAGACATGATACTGAGACTTGTTTGGTTTGTGCGTGACGACGTCAGAATGTTTTGGATTTTATTTCTGGTTTGTGTTAGACTGATAAACAGAATGAAGGTGGTGTTTTTCCTGCTGCTGTGCAGCTTGAGGTGTGTGGGCTGGAACATTTCTAAAAGCCAAGGCTCACATTGATTTAACCCTCGTCAATACCAGGACAAGAAAAGGGGGGCGTTCTGCGCGCGCAGACTCTCAGGGGCGCAGACTCTCAGGGGCGCAGACTCTCAGGGGCGCAGACTCTCAGGGGCGCAGACTCTCAGGGGCGCAGACTCTCACGGACGCACACACACAGACAGACAAATACATATACAGAGACACACCCTCTCCTTCTTATTGTTCAAACATTGACTCGACTCCAGAGTAACCTTTTCTATCTCAATCATAAAGATAAGTGATGGAAGATGAAATGTGTAGCCAGATGGAATAGTAGACAGTATTTCTGTATGTGAAATATGTGGGTGTGAAGATGATGAATAGCAATATAATTATCTGTAAGTTGTTGCCAAGGAAGTGCTTGATAAAAATACCTCCTACTCCCACAGTGTTAGACCTGGAGCCAGTGGAGGAACTGGCTAGTATTGTTGTGTACGATGATGGATCCCTGTGGCAGCATCATAGAATACAGCTGTTGTGGACAAGGACCTTGGCTCTTTCTCTGTGTATCTTTCCTTCACTTCGCCTCCTTTTCAAAACGTAGGCTATTGGGGAAGGTCCGAGGGAAGTGACCTTGGACTTATCCTCCAATACGGTTAAGGAGGACGCAAGGAGATGGGGATGCAAGGAATCGAGGAGAGTGGAGTTGAGAAACATCCCTTGTAGTTGTCCCTGAAGTTCATGACAGGAGTCTCACACAGAGCAGGTGTTGGGTTCTTCTGAGGATGGAGAGGCTGTGACTGAATGGCCTAGCTAGTTGTTGATTGGTTGGTGGGCAGTGGAACAGCTTCTGATGGGAGGAGGAGAAAAGATTGTCAACATTCTATAGGCATGTCTCTGTTCTATAGAATCAGAATGTTCTGAATATTCTAGAGAAGCATGATGCCTGTGTGTGGTGTTAGAATGTCTGTGTGGGTTGGGTTCTGATAAGAACTTGAGCCTGTGAAATAGGAATATAATTATAGTTTTGTGGGCTGTGGTCCCATGTGTCTAATTGGAAGTCTACATGACATTCTTGGGAGTGTCTTTCCTAGCCACAGGCAGCAGCACTTAACATATTAAATTACTTATTGTTAAAGTTTTGTTGAAGTTGAATCTGGCTACCCTTACCGTTAAGTGACAGAGCTGAGGATCTGAAATCCCTGGTTAATATTCAGGCTTTTTCAATCCTATCAGGGATTTGGACAATGTGCCATTTGAAGGTCATTTCTGATTGAGCTGACATATGCAGCATTTACAGTGAATGTGACCTCTGCGAACGTGGAAACATTGCCTTTAAAATGTGCATTGCAGACAAATCCCAGCCTCAGTGTACTTTCTGTGGTCGACGGGAGGCTGTCTGTCAGGTAATTCCTGTTGTCGTTAACGTTGAGTGCCTTCTCTCTTGTTGTTGTCTCTGTGGTAACAACTGGTGTCTTTCCATTTCCTCAAGAGTCTCTTCCCCCTGTCAGTCCTTTTCAGGGATTCATAACCCCACCCTGACACACACACATATATATATACATACATATACACACACACACACACACACACACACACACACTAAGCTTGTCATGATACCAACATTTTGATCTGCATGTCATTGTCAGTAAGGGGAAAACACTGCATGAAGCCTCATTTACGCTTCAGTTAACAGACACTTTCCCTCACTTCCTCACACACACAGTCTGTCTCCCTCACTCTCATGAACACGCATACACCGCTCTCTCTCTCCCTCAAACACACATACTGCGCCCAACTTTTAGAACGTTGGGCACCAAACTGAATTTAAGGAGCACCAGAAATAAATAGATTTTTGATATATGCTGAACAAAAATATAAACGCAACATGTAAAGTGTTGGTCCCCTGTTTCATGAGCTGAAATGAACGTTCCCCGAAATGTTCCATACACACAAAAAGCTTATTTTGCTCAAATTTTGTTCGCAAATTTGTTTACATCCCTGATAGTGAGCATTTATCATTTGCCAAGATAATCCATCCATCTGAAAGGTGTGGTATATCAAGAAGCTGATTAAGCCTAATTCAGATAAGGCATGTCAAAACAAGATGCCCAGTCCTCCACCCTCTCTCGCTCGCTCCTTACCCGCAAAATTTCAGTCACATCTCTCACCGTACACTTGTCTGTCCAATGCATGTATACAACTAGCTAGAGTATAGGGTGGCCACTCCATAGCAAGCTGCTCTATCCGCACTGATTGGTGAAGTCATTTAATGTCGAGCTAAATGTAAAAAGTATATACAGTGAGGGAAAAAAGTATTTGATCCCCTGCTGATTTTGTACGTTTGCCCACTGACAAAGAAATTATCAGTCTATAATTTTAATGGTAGGTTTATTTGAACAGTGAGAGACTGAATAACAACAATAACCTATAAAAACGCATGTCAAAAATTTTATAAATTGATTTGCATTTTAATGAGGGAAATAAGTATTTGACCCCCTCTCAATTGGAAAGATTTCTGGCTCCCAGGTGTCTTTTTATACAGGTAACGAGCTGAGATTAGGAGCACACTCTTAAAGGGAGTGCTCCTAATCTCAGCTTGTTACCTGTATAAAAGACACCTGTCCACAGAAGCAATCAATCAATCAGATTCCAAACTCTCCACCATGGCCAAGACCAGAGAGCTCTCCAAGGATGTCAGGGACAAGATTGTAGACCTACACAAGGCTGGAATGGGCTACAAGACCATCGCCAAGCAGCTTGGTGAGAAGGTGACAACAGTTGGTGCGATTATTCGCAAATGGAAGACACACGAAATAACTGTCAATCGGCCTGGGGCTCCATGCAAGATCTCACCTCGTGGAGTTGCAATGATCATGAGAACGGTGAGGAATCAGCCCAGAACTACACGGGAGGATCTTGTCAATGATCCCAAGGCAGCTGGGACCATAGTCACCAAGAAAACAATTGGTAACACACTACGCCGTGAAGGACTGAAATCCTGCAGCGCCCGCAAGGTCCCCCTGCTCAAGAAAGCACATATACAGGCCCGTCTGAAGTTTGCCAATGAACATCTGAATGATTCAGAGGAGAACTGGGTGAAAGTGTTGTGGTCAGATGAGACCAAAATCGAGCTCTTTGGCATCAACTCAACTTGCCGTGTTTGGAGGAGGAGGAATGCTGCCTATGACCCCAAGAACACCATCCCCACTGTCAAACATGGAGGTGGAAACATTATGCTTTGGGGGTGTTTTTCTGCTAAGGGGACAGGACAACTTCACCGCATCAAAGGGACGATGGACGGGGCCATGTACCGTCAAATCTTGGGTGAGAACCTGCTTCCCTCAGCCAGGGCATTGAAAATGGGTTGTGGATGGGTATTCCAGCATGACAATGACCCAAAACACACGGCCAAGGCAACAAAGGAGTGGCTCAAGAAGAAGCACATTAAGGTCCTGGAGTGGCCTAGCCAGTCTCCAGACCCTGATCCCATAGAAAATCTGTGGAGGGAGTTGAAGGTTTGAGTTCCCAAACGTCAGCCTCGAAACCTTACTGACTTGGAGAATATCTGCAAAGAGGAGTGGGACAAAATCCCTCCTGAGATGTGTGCAAACCTGGTGGCCAACTACAAGAAACGTCTGACCTCTGTGATTGCCAACAAGGGTTTTGCCACCAAGCACTAAGTCATGTTTTGCAGAGGGGTCAAATACTTATTTCCCTCATTAAAATGCAAATCAATTTATAACATTTTTTACATGTGTTTTTCTGGATTTTTGTTGTTATTCTGTCTCTCACTGTTCAAATAAACCTACCATTAAAATTATAGACTGATCATGTCTTTGTCAGTGGGCAAACGTACAAAATCAGCAGGGGATCAAATACTTTTTTCCCTCACTGTGTGTGTGTGTGTGTGTGTGTGTGTGTGTGTGTGTGTGTGTGTGTGTATATGTATGTATGTATGTATATATATATATATATATATATATATATATATATATATATATATATATATATACTGCTCAAAAGAATAAAGGGAACACATCCTAGATCTGAATGAATGAAATAATCTTATTAAATACTTTTTTCTTTACATAGTTGAATGTGCTGACAACAAAATCACACAAAAATTATCAATGGAAATCAAATGTATCAACCCATGGAGGTCTGGATTTGGAGTCACCCTCAAAATTAAAGTGGAAAAACCACACTACAGGCTGATCCAACTTTGATGTAATGTCCTTAAAACAAGTCAAAATGAGGCTCAGTAGTGTGTGTGGCCTCCACGTGCCTGTATGACCTCCCTACAATGCCTGGGCATGCTCCTGATGAGGTGGCGGATGGTCTCCTGAGGGATCTCCTCCCAGACCTTGACTAAAGCATCCGCCAACTCCTGGACAGTCTGTGGTGCAACGTGGCGTTGGTGGATGGAGCGAGACATGATGTCCCAGATGTGCTCAATTGGATTCAGGTCTGGGGAACGGGCGGGCCAGTCCATAGCATCAATGCTTTCCTCTTGTAGGAACTGCTGACACACTCCAGCCACATGAGGTCTAGCATTGTCTTGCATTAGGAGGAAACCAGGGCCAACCGCACCAGCATATGGTCTCACAAGGGGTCTGAGGATCTCATCTCGGTACCTAATGGCAGTCAGGCTATCTCTGTCGAGCACATGGAGGGCTGTGCGGCCCCCCAAAGAAATGCCAACCCACACCATGACTGACCCACCGCCAAACCGGTCATGCTGGAGGATGTTGCAGGCAGCAGAACGTTCTCCACGGCATCTCCAGACTCTGTCACGTCTGTCACATGTGCTCAGTGTGAACCTGCTTTCATCTGTGAAGAGCACAGGGCGCCAGTGGCGAATTTGCCAATCTTGGTGTTCTCTGGCAAATGCCAAACGTCCTGCACGGTGTTGGGCTGTAAGCACAACCCCCACCTGTGGACGTCGGGCCCTCATACCACCCTCATGGAGTCTGTTTCTGACCGTTTGAGCAGACACATGCACATTTGTGGCCTGCTGGAGGTCATTTTGCAGGGCTCTGGCAGTGCTCCTCCTTGCACAAAGGCGGAGGTAGCAGTCCTGCCGCTGGGTTGTTGCCCGCCTACGGCCTCCTCCACGTCTCCTGATGTACTGGCCTGTCTCCTGGTAGCGCCTCCATGCTCCTTACACTACGCTGACAGACACAGCAAACCTTCTTGCCACAGCTCGCATTGATGTGCCATCCTGGATGAGCTGCACTACCTAAGCCACTTGTGTGGGTTGTAGTCTCCGTCTCATGCTACCACTAGAGTGAAAGCACCGCCAGCATTCAAAAGTGACCAAAACATCAGCCAGGAAGCATAGGAACTGAGAAGTGGTCGTGGTCACCACCTGCAAAACCAGTCCTTTATTGGGGGTGTCTTGACTGTAAGTCGCTTTGGATAAAAGCGTCTGCTAAATGGCATATTATTATTATTATTATTATTATTATTATTGCTAATTGCCTATAATTTCCACCTGTTGTCTATTCTATTTGCACAACAGCATGTGAAATGTATTGTCAATCAGTGTTGCTTCCTAAGTGGACAGTTTGATTTCACAGAAGTGTGATTGACTTGGAGTTACATTGTGTTGTTTAAGTGTTCCCTTTATTTTTTTGAGCAGTGTATATATAATTTTTTATTTTTTAAAAATGTTTCTTAGAGGTTTAAAAAGGAAACATATCAGCTGTAACTTTTTTGGTTCGAACCGGTTCTTAACTTTATTTTGCTGGTCGGAACAGTATAACGTAGAGGAGAAAAAATTGTTCTCTAACGGAAAAAAATAATGATTCTGTTCAGAACAAAACGATTGGGAAATGATTTAGGTTCGAACCCCATATACACTACATGACCTAAAGTATGTGGACACCTGCTCGCCGAACATCTCATTCCAAAATCATGGGCATTAATATGGAGTTGGTCACCCCTGCTGCTATAACAGCCTCCACTCTTCCGGGAAGGCTTTCCACTAGATGTTGGAACATTTCTGCGGGGACTTGCTTCCATTCAGCCACGAGCATTGGTGAGGTCGGGCACTGATGTTGGGCGTTCCAATTAATTCCAAAGGTGTTCGATGGGGTTGAGGTCAGGGCTCTGTGCAGGCCAGTCAAGTTCTTACACACCAATCTCGCTTTGTGCACGGGGGCATTGTCATGCTGAAACAGGAAAGGGTCTTCCCCAAACTGTTGCCACAATGTTGGAAGCACAGAATCTTCTAGAATGTCATTGTATGCTGTAGCTTTAAAATGTCCCTTCACTGGAGCTAAGCGGCCTAGACCGAACCATGAAAAACAGCCCCAGACCATTATTCCTCCTTCACCAAACTTTACAGTTGGCACTATGCACTGAGGCAGGTAGCGTTCTCCTTGCATCCGCCAAACACAGATCCATCCATCGTACTGCAAGATGGTGATCGGACTGCCAGATGGTGAAGCGTGATCCATTACTCCAGAGAACGCGTTTCCACTGCTCCAGAGTTCAATGGTGGTGAGCTTTACACCACTCCAGCCAATGCTTGTCATTGCGCATGGTGATCTTAGGCCATGGAAACCCATTTCATGAAGCTCCCGACGAACAGTTCTTCTGCTGACGTTGCTTCCAGAGGCAGTTTGGAACTTGGTAGTTAGTGTTGCAACCGAGGACAGACGATTTATACGTGCTACGCACTTAAGCACTCGGCAGTCCCATTCTGTGAGCTTGTGTGGCCTAACACTTCGCAGCTTTTATTTTGATTTCATGTAATGGACATATACAAAATAGTCCAAATTGGTGAAGTGAAATGAAAAAGGTATTGCTGCAAAAGGTGGCTCTACAAAGTATTGACTAGTTATGCACGCTCAAGTTTTCAGTTTTTTGTCTTCTTTTTGTTTGTTTCACAATATTTTGCATCTTCAAAGTGGTAGGCATGTTGTGTAAATTAAATGATACAACCCCCCCAAAAATCCATTTTATTTCCAGGTTGTATGGCAACAAAATAGGAAAAATGCCAAGGGGGTGAATACTTTCGCAAGCCACTGTATAGTGTATCTATGAATTGAGATGAGACTGGGCTTTGTTCTGGTGTGATTTGTGTGTGTATATATACTGACCAAAAATATAAACTTAACATGCAACAATTTAAAAGATTTGACTATATTACAGTTCATACGAGGAAATCAGTCAATTGAAATAAATTCGTTAGGCCCTAATCTACAGATTTCACATGACTGGGCAGGGGTGCAGCCATGGATGGGTGGGCCTGGGAGGGCATAGGCACATCAACTTGACAGCCAGGCCCACCCGCTGGGGAGCCCGGCCCAGCCAATCAGAATACGTTTATTTTCCCACAAAAGGGCATTATTACAGATATAATGAAGAAGCTGGATGTGGAGGTCCTGGGCTAGCATGGCTACGTGGTCTGCGGTTGTGAGGCCGGTTGGATGTACTAAGTCCCCTGTAGCTCAGTTGGTAGAGCATGGCGCTTGCATCGCCAGGGTTGTGGGTTCGTTGTAATGTTAAATGTATGCACTCACTAACTGTAAGTCGCTCTGAATAAGAGTGTCTGCTAAATGACTAAAATGTAAATGTACCGCCAAATTCTCTAAAACGACGTTGGAGGCAGTTTAGCAAATGTAGAGAAATTAACATTCAATTCTCTGGCAACAGCTCTGGTGGACATTCCTGCAGTCAGCATGCCAATTGCACGCTCCCTCCAATACTTGAGACATCTGTGGCGTTGTGTTAAAGTGGCCTTTTATTTTCCCCAGCACAAGGTGCAACTGTGTAATGAGCATACTGTTTAATCAGCTTCTTGATGTGCCACACCTGTCAGGTGGATGGATTATCTTGGCAAAGGAGAAATGCTCATGTTCACTTTACATGTTGCGTTTATTTTTTGTTCAGTTCCTTCGGAAAGTATTCAGACCCGTTGACATTTCCCAATTTTTTGTTACGTTACAGCCTTATTCTAAAATTGCTGAGGATTTTTATTTATTTAATCAATCTACACACAATACCCCATAATGACAAAGCGAAAACGATACCTTATTTACATAATTATTCAGACCCTTTGCTATGAGACACGAAATTAAGCTCAGGTGCATCCTGTTTCCATTGATTATCCTTGAGATGTTTCTACAACTTGATTGGAGTCCACCTGTGCTAAATTCAATTGATTGGACATGATTTGGAAAGGCACACACCTGTCTATATAAGGTCCCACAGTTGACAGTGCATGTCAGCGCAAAAGCCAAGCCAAGAGGTCGAAGGAATTGTCCGTAGAGCTCAGAGACAGGATTGTGTCGAGGCACAGATCTGGGGAAGGGTTCCAAAACATTTCTGCAGCATTGAAGGTACCCTAGAACACAGTGGCCTCCATCATTCTTAAATGGAAGAAGTTTGGAACCACCAAGACTCTTCCTAGAGCTGGCTGCCTGGCCAAACTGAGCAATCGGGGGACAAGGGCCTTGGTCAGGGAGGTGACCAAGAACACGATGGTCACTCTGACAGAGCTCCAGAGTTCCTCTGTGGAGATGGGAGAACCTTCCAGAAGGACAGCCATCTCTGCAGCACTCCACCAATCAGGCCTTTATAGTAGAGTGGCCAGACTGAAGCCACTCCTCAGTAAAAGGCACGTGACAGCCCGCTTGGCGTTTGCCAAAAGGCACCTGAAGACTCTGACCATGAGAAACAAGATACTCTGGTCTGATGAAACCACGATTTAACTCTTTGGCCTGAATGCCATGCGTCACGTCTGGAGAAAACCTGACACAATCCCTACGGTGAAGCATGGTGGTGGCAGCATCATGCAGTGGGGATGTTTTTCAGCTGCAGGGACTGGGAGACTAGTCAGGGTTGAGGCAAAGATGAACGGCGCAAAGTACAGAGAGATCCTTGATAAAAACCTGCTCCAGAGCGCTCAGGACCTCCGACTGGGGCGAAGGTTCACCTTCCAATAGGGAAATGACTCTAAGCACACAGCCAAGACAACGCAGGAGTGGTTTCGGGACAAGTCTATGAATGTCCTTGAGTGGCCCAGCCAGAGCCTGGAGAGACCTGAAAATATTTGTGCAGCGACGCTCTCCATCCAACTTGACAGAGCTTCAGAGGATCTGCAGAGAAGAATGGGAAAAACTCCCCAAGTACAGGTGTGCCAACCTTGTAGCGTAATACCCAAGAAGTCTCGAGGCTGTAATCGCTGCCAAAGGTGCTTAAACAAAGTACTGAGTAAAGGGTCAGAATACTTATGTAAATGTAATATTTCGTTTTTTTATCGGTAATACATTTGCTAAAATTTCTAAAGACCTGTTTTTGCTTTGTCATTATCGGGTATTGTGTGTAGATTCATTGGGGGGCACTATTTTAATCAATTTTAGAATAAGGCTGTAAGCTAACAAAAGGTCTGAATACTTTCCGAATGCACTGTATATCTGCTTACTGACCGGCTCTGTTGTAGAGTAGGGGATATGCATTATGACACAGGATTGAATAATATATAAAGGCATCACGGCTTACTCTGGGGTACTCTAGAGGCCTGACCCCCAGGCCTCAGCTCTGGGGTACTGCAGAGAGGGCTGACCCTCAGTCTCTGGGGTACTGTAGAGAGGGCTTTACCCCGGCCTCAGTCTCTGGGGTACTGCAGAGAGGGCTTTACCCCGGCCTCAGTCTCTGGGGTACTGCAGAGAGGGCTTTACCCCGGCCTCAGTCTCTGGGGTACTGCAGAGAGTGCTTTACCCCGGCCTCAGTCTCTGGGGTACTGTAGAAATACCTGACCCCAGCCTTAGTCTCTGGGGTACTGTAGAGAGGCCTGATCCTCAGTCTCTGGGGTACTGCAGAGAGGGCTTTACCCCGGCCTCAGTCTCTGGGGTACTGTAGAAATACCTGACCCCAGCCTTAGTCTCTGGGGTACTGCAGAGAGGCCTGATCCTCAGTGTCTGGGGTACTGTAGAGATACTTGACCCCCAACCTTAGTCTCTGGGGTACTGTGGAGGCCTGACCCCCAGCTTCAGGGGTTGGTAAAAGGACATTACACTCATAAATAGTAATGTCAAGATGAAACCACGTCCCTTTTCATCGGTTGTGTAGATCCGGCAGTTATACGCCTCATTCGCAAATGAATGGAAAAGATAAGCTTTGTCTAATTTACAGTAACCCCCTCTCTCTCTCCCTCCTCTCCCCCTTCCTCTCCCTCCTCTCCACGTTCACCGTCTCTCTCTCTCTCCAGACCAGATCCTGCGCCGCGGGGAGGAGCATCCCAGCAGAATGACTCTCCTTTCCCAGACCAGGATGAGGAGATACTGGGCTCTGACGATGAGGAGCAGGAAGACCCCAACGACTACTGTAGAGGTATGATACAGTACACACACTGACTACTGTAGAGGTATGACACAGTACACTCACTGACTACTGTAGAGGTATGATACAGTACACTCACTGACTACTGTAGAGGTATGATACAGTACACACACTGACTACTGTAGAGGTATGACACAGTACACACACTGACTACTGTAGAGGTATGACACAGTACACACACTGACTACTGTAGAGGTATGATACAGTACACACACTGACTACTGTAGAGGTATGACACAGTACACTCACTGACTACTGTAGAGGTATGATACAGTACACTCACTGACTACTGTAGAGGTATGACACAGTACACTCACTGACTACTGTAGAGGTATGATACAGTACACTCACTGACTACTGTAGAGGTATGACACAGTACACTCACTGACTACTGTAGAGGTATGATACAGTACACTCACTGACTACTGTAGAGGTATGACACAGTACACACACTGACTACTGTAGAGGTATGACACAGTACACACACTGACTACTGTAGAGGTATGACACAGTACACACACTGACTACTGTAGAGGTATGACACAGTACACTCACTGACTACTGTAGAGGTATGATACAGTACACTCACTGACTACTGTAGAGGTATGACACAGTACACACACTGACTACTGTAGAGGTATGACACAGTACACACACTGACTACTGTAGAGGTATGACACAGTACACACACTGACTACTGTAGAGGTATGATACAGTACACTCACTGACTACTGTAGAGGTATGACACAGTACACACACTGACTACTCTAGACGTACAACACACACACACACACACACACACAACTACCATGTGTTACTGTTGCAGGAGGTTACCACCATGTGAAGATAGGAGACCTGTTCAATGGGCGATACCATGTGATCAGGAAGCTGGGCTGGGGACATTTCTCCACCGTATGGTTGGCCTGGGACATACAGTAAGTTATGTATGTCTGTGTGTAAAAGGTGCTGAGTAAAGGCGTGTAAAAAATTTTTTGGTGTGTTTTGAGTTTAAGTGGTAGAGGCTTGTTGGTTGTTCAGTGTGTGTTTCAGTTTGTAACATATGTTGTCCTGTATTCCTAGGGGGAAGTGTTTTGTGGCCATGAAGGTGGTGAAGAGTGCAGAGCACTACACTGAGACAGCTCTGGATGAGATCAAGCTTCTGAGATCAGTGAGGAACGAACACACACACACACACACACACACACACAATTGTACTCAATATGAATTGTATGAATGTGTGCTCCAGGTAAGGAACACGGACCAGAACGACCCCAGCAGGGAGAGGGTGGTTCAGCTACTGGACGACTTCAAGATCTCTGGCATGAATGGAACTCGTATCCTCACTTAAACAACGACGACAACAGTGCTTTATTAACTTTATTAACACGATAAAAGCACGTTCAACATTTACTATGAAAACAGACAACAAGAGAGAACCGGCATATTCCATGTACTCCAGCGTTGTCTGGATGTTGGCAGCTCAACACAGCCCAGCTAGAGGACACACACAGACACACAAATGTACTGACAGTTTGTTTATCCGTCCCAGCTAGAGACCATTTAGATCCTGATCACAGCTGGGTGTCCAGGCAACACGCCTAGACTCCGTCCTAGCACGCCTAGCTTCTGGAAGAGGTCATAATGAGTTCTGGGTTGGTGTGCCCACTTCCATCTTGGTTCTTTGCAGAACCTTTAGGTGTTCACGTTTTGATATTGTGTAGGTGTAAGCCAGATGCATAGGGGTGAATGACATGGGTGTGTGCGTTTTTGAGTTAGGTTTCCCAGCTTGTCCCTCTCCCTTGCTGTCCTGTACTTGTCCGGTACTAGTCCTTGACCTCCCCTGTCAGATGTCTGTATGGTGTTTGAGGTTCTGGGTCATCACCTGCTCAAATGGATCATCAAGTCCAACTACCAGGGCCTTCCTCTGCCCTGCGTTAAGAGCATCATACGACAGGTAAAACAAAACAACTACTTACTTCTCACACATTGGGTTCCAGGTTGGGTGTTCCAGGTTATCTTGATTGCAGAAACAAACACTCAACAGAACTCTACAGAATTTTAACACTGAAATTGTTAGTAATTCTGTTATTGAAAGGGGGTTGAAAATTCCAGAAACTTTACCAAAAGTTTCCATGATTCCAGGAAACCTCCAACTGGAATTTTGGGAATGTTTCCTCAGTGTTGAAACCCTACGATAAAGTCTTACTGATCCTCTGTCCTCCTGTAGGTCCTCCAGGGGCTGGACTACCTTCACTCCAAGTGTAAGATCATCCACACAGACATCAAGCCAGAGAACATCCTGTTGACGGTCAACGAGCCCTACATCAAGAAGATGGCTGCCGAGGCTACAGAATGGCAGCGGACTGGAGCTCCACCCCCCTCCGGATCCGCAGGTACACACACACACACCGCGTCAGGAAGATGTCTTCTGGTAACTGGCCCCTCGCTTCCACCATTTTGAATGAACACAGTGCAGTGTTGGAAAGCTGTATCAACATGGACATAATAACATTACCATCCGGGCATGGCATGCTAGTGAATAATGAGATTGTATTAATTAGTGCTTTTCACTCAAAGCTCTTCAAAGGATCATATTCTTTTTGTATGGAGCTTTGTCCCAATGTTCTGAACAAAAAGAGCGAGCCCTGCCAAGTCAAGGCAGACATTCGGCGTTTCAGTCTGTGATCACCAGCCAGTCTAGGAGACATTGAGGTGATTCATTCATTGTCTGGATTCCTGTTTTGCTGGTACATCAAGAGTTTTGTAGTGAAATTCAGACACAAGCATCAGAGACAAATCATCTGACGATTTAACGAGAGACTGATATCTAAAGATTGAGCCTAACGTTTAGATTGGTGCTAAAAGTAGTTGATGGTAGAGACAGTGTTTCTATGGATTGAGATGAGACTGGGCTTCTGGTGTGGTGTTGAAATGATGAGACAACCCTTTTATCTAGCTGTCTGATGCTGATCCATCTGTAATGGTAGGGGTGACATTGAGAGGGAGAGCTGCAGTAGAGCTTACTCGAAGCCAGGCCATTATGCAAAGCCATGAAGGCTATAAAAAAAAAAATAGGTGTGTGTTCAGTGAGTCACTGGGTTTTGTTACAGAAATAACCTTCCATCTCTCAGGCGGAGTCCCGCTGGTCCACGACACTGGAGAGGGTATCAGAACAGCTGTGTGTGTGAATCAGCGCGCACACACACACACAATGTACATACACACAAACACACTGTACTACTGAAACTGCGTGCTAATTACTGAGGCAGATTGCTGCTGGTTTATATTGCTGAGGATATAACACTGACTAGAATGTTCTCTCTCCCCTCTCTTCATAGTGAGCACAGCCCCAGCACCCAAACCAGTGAGTATATCAGTATTTTCGTGTTATTTATAAAAGCATGTTTTGTGTGTGTGTGTGGTTGCTGCTACCAGCTGTATCTACCAGATAATGCGTTGGAGTGGGTGGATCTGTTCACACTTAACAATGGTTTTGCAAATGGTACAGTAGTCCAAATGGTACAGTAGTCCAAATGGTACAGTAGTCCAAATGGTACAGTAGTCCAAAGGTACAGTAGTCCAAATGGTACAGTAGTCCAAACGGTACAGTAGTCCAAATGGTACAGTAGTCCAAATGGTACAGTAGTCCAAACGATACAGTTAGTACAGTACCAAATATTTACAGTATAGTCCAAATGGTTACAGTAGTCCAAACGTTACAGTAGTCCAAATGCGTTACCGTGAGTCCAAACGGTACAGTAGTCCAACGGGTACAGTAGTCCAAACGGTACAGTAGTCCAAACGGTACAGTAGTCCAAATGGTACAGTAGTCCAAACCTCTCATCCCCTTTTTCCTCTCCTCATCCCTCTCCTCATCCCTCTCCTCTCCTCTCCTCTCCTCTCTCTCTCCTCGTCCTCTCCTCTCCCTCTCCTCGTCCTCCTCCTCCTCTCTCCTCGTCCTCCTCTCCCCTCGCTCGTCTCTCCTCTCCTCGTCCGTCACTTCTCCTCGTCCTTCTCCTCTCCTCGTCCTTCTCTCCTCGTCCCTCTCCTCGTCTCGTCCCTCTCCTCGTCTCGTCCCTCTCCTCGTCTCTTCCCTCTCCTCGTCTCGTCCTTTTCCTCTCCTCGTCCTTTTCACTCTCCTCGTCCTCTCCTCGTTCCTCTCCTCGTCCTCTCTGTCTCCTCCTCTCTCGTCTCGCTCCTCCTCGTTCGTCCTCGGCTCTCTCCTGTCCGCTCCTCTCCTCGTCCTCTCCTTGTCCCGCTCCTCTCCTTGTCCCGCTCCTCTCCTCGTCCATCTGTCCTCTCCTCCTTTCCCCGTCATCTCCTCGTCCGCTCCTCTCCTTGTCGCTCCTCTCTCGTCCCTCTCCTGTCCGCTCCTCTCCTTTCCCGCTCCTCTACCCGTCCCTACTCCTTGTCCGCTCCTCTCCTTGTCCCGCTCTCCTGTCCCCTCTCTCTCCTCCGTCCCTCTCCTCCCTCCCTCCTGTCCTCTCCTCGTCCCTCCGTCTCCTCTCCTCCTCTCCTTCCCCTCATTCTCTCTCGCCTCTCCTTGTCCCCTCCCTCCTCCCGTCCTCTCCTCTCCTCCTCTCCTTCCCCTCCTCTCTGTCCCTCTCCTCTTGTCCCTCCTCTCCTTGTCCGCTCTCTCCTTCCCTCTTCCTTCGTCCCCTACTCATCGTCCTCTCCTTCCTCCTCCCGTCCCCCTCTCCCTCCTCTCCTCGTCCTCCCTCCTCGTCTCCCGCTCTCTCCTCGTCCGCTCTCCTGTCCCGCTCCTCCTGTCTCCTTTCCTTGTCCTCTCTCCTTCCGTCTTCTCCCTCCTTTCCCGCTCCCTCCTTCCCTGCTTCCCGCCCTCTCTCTGTCCCCTGCCCTACTCCTCGCCGCTCCTTCCTTGTCTCGTCCTCTCCTCGTCCTCTCCTGTCCCCTCCTCGTCCTCTTCCTCCGTCCCGCTCTCCTCTCTCGTCCCGTCCTCTCCTTGTCCTCTCCTGTTCTGTCCCCTCCTCGTCCTTCTCGTCCTTCTCTCTCGTCCCTCTCTCGTCCCTTTCCCGTCCCCTTCCCTCGTCCTCTCCTCGTCCCTCCTCTCCTCCTCTCCTCTTCCCTTCGTCCCGCTCCTTCCTGTCCCTCCTTCTCCTTCCTCTCTCCTTCCTCGTCCCTCTCCTCTCCTCTCTCGTCCTCTCCTCTCCTTTCCCTCCTCTCCTCGTCCCCCTCGTCCCTTCTCTGTCCCCTCCTCTCCTCGCTCGTTCCTTCTCCTCTCCTCCTCTCTCCTTTCCTCGTCCTCTCCTCCTCCTGCTCCTCTCCTCTCGCCCTCCCTGTCCCTCTCGCCCTCTCTTCCCTCCTCTCCTTCGTCCTCTCTCTCTCCCTTCCTCGTCCTCTCCTGCTCCTCTCCTCGTCCCGCTCCTCTCCTCGTCCCTCTCCTCGTCCCTCTCCTCGTCCCTCTCCTCGTCCCTCTTCTCTTGTCCTCTCTCTGTTCCTTCCTCCTCCTCTCTCCCGTCCTCCTCGTCTCTCCTCGTCCCTCCTTCTCCTCTCCTCGTCCCTCTCCTCGTCCCTCTCCTCGTCCCTCGTCCTCTCCTCGCCCTCTCTCGTCCTCCCTCCTCTCCCTCTCGTCCCTCTCCTGTCTCCTCTCCTCGATCCTCTCTCCTCTCCTCGTCCTCTCCTTCTCCTCGTCCCTATCCTCGTCCTCTCCCTCTCCTCGTCCTTCTCTCGTCCCTCTCTCCCTTCCTCCTTCCCTCCCCCTCTCCTCCCTCTCCTCTCCTCTCCTCGTCCTCTCCTCGTCCCTCCATTCGTCCCTCTCCTCGTCCCTCTCCTCGTCCCTTCCTGCCCTCTCCGTCCCTCTCGTCCTCATTCGCCCCTCTCCTCGCCCTCTCCTCGTCCCTCCTGTCCCTCTCCTCGTCCCTCCTGCCCCTTCCTCGTCCCTCCCTCGTCCCTCTCCTCGTCCTCTCCTGTCCCTCTCCTCCCTTCCTCTCCCTCCCTCCACTCGTTCCCTCTCCTCGTCCCTCTCCTCCCTCCTCGTCCTCTCTGCCCCTCTCCTCGTCCTCTTCCCTCCATTCCCCCTCTCCTCTCCCTTCCTCCCTCTCCCTCCCTCTCCCCTCTCCTCGTCCCTCTCCTCTCCTCGTTCCTCTCCTCGTCCCTCTCCTCGTTCTCTCCTGTCCTCTCTGTCCCTTCCTCGTCCCTCCATCGTCCTCTCCTCGTCCCTCTCGTCCTTCTCCTCGCCCCTCTCCTCGTCCCTCTCCTCGTCCCTCTCCTCGTCCCTCTCCTCGTCCCTCTCCTCGTCCCTCTCCTCGCCCCTCTCCTCGTCCCTCTCCTCGTCCCTCCTCCTCCTCGTCCCTCCTCTCCTCGTCCCTCTCCTCGTCCCTCTCCTCGTCCCATCTCCTCGTCCCTCTCCTCGTCCCTCTCTCGCCCTCCTCCTCGTCCTCTCTCGTCTCTCTCTCTCGTCCCTCTCCTCGTCCCTCTCCTCGTCCCTCCTCGTCCTCTCTCGTCCTCTCCTCGTCCCCCTTCTCGTCCTCCTCGTCCCTCTCGTCCCTCTCCTCCTTCCTCGTCTTCTCCTCGTCCTTCAGTCCCTCTCCATTCGTCCTCTCCTCGTCCCTCGTCCTTCCCTCGTCCTCCTCGTCCTCATTCGTCCCTCTCGCCCTACGTCCCTCCCATTCGTCCCTCTCGTATCCTCATCCGTCCCTGATCTCCTCTACATCTGTCCCTCCATCCGTCCCTCTCTGTCCCTCCATTCGTCTCCTATCCTCGTCCCTTCCTCGTCCCTCTCTCGTCCATCTCATTCGTCCTATTAGTCCTATCGTCCCTCTCCTCTCGTCCCTATCCATTCGTCCCTCTCCTCGTCCCCTCTCTCGTCCCTCCCTTCATCGTCCCTTCCATCGTCCCTCTCCCCCGTCCCTCTCCTCGTCCCTCCTCGTCCTCTCTCCTCGTCCCTCCTTCCTTCCCTCCTCTCCTCGTCCTCCTCTCCTCGTCCCTCCTCGTCCTTCTCCTCGTCCCTGTCCCTCCTCGTCCCTCTCCTCATCCCTCCATCGTCCCTCTCCTCGTCCTCTCCTTCGTCCCTCTCCTCGTCCTCTGCTCCGTCCCCTCTCCTCATGTCCTCTCTCGTCCCTCCATTCGTCCCTCTCCTCGTCCCTCTCCTCGTCCCTCTCCTCGCCCTCTCCTCGTCCCTCTCCTCGTCCCTCTCCTCGTCCCTCTCCTCTCCTCGTCCCTCTCCTCGTCCCTCTCCTCGTCCCTCTCCTCGTCCCTCTCCTCGTCCCTCTCCTCACATCACTCTCCTCGTTCCTCTTCCTCGTCCCTTATCGCCACTCTCCTATGGTCCACCTCTCCTCGGCCCCTCTCCTCGTCCCCTCTCCTCGTCCCTCACCTCGTCCCTTCTTCTCTCCTCAGTTTCCCTTCTCCTCGTCCCTCTCCTCGTCCCTCTCCTCTCCTCGTCCCTCATTTCGTCCCTCTCCTCGCCCCTCTCCTCGTACCTCTCCTCGTCCCTCTCCTCTCCTCGTCCCTCTCCTCGTCCCTCTCCTCTCATTGTCCCTCCATTCGTCCCTCCATTCGTCCCTCTCCTCGCCCCTCGTCCCTCTCCTCGTCCCTCTCCTCATCCTTCTCGTCCCTCTCCTCGTCCCTCCATTCGTCCCTCTCCTCGCCCCTCATCCTTCTCCTCGTACCTCTCCTCGTCCCCCCTCTCCTCGTCCCCCCTCTCCTCGTCCCTCCTATCCTTATCACTCTTCCTCAGACGGCGAAGATGTCTAAGAACAAGAAGAAGAAGATCAAGAAGAAACAGAGGAAGCAGGCAGAGATGTTAGAGAAGAGGATTCAGGAGATGGAGGGAGTGCTGGAAGGAGGAGAGGAAGAGGAGGAGGAAGAGGGGAGGACAGAGACCACTACAGACGCCCCACCGCCCTCGTCTGACACGCTACAGGACATCGCTAATGATGTCACAGCAGGTAAACACACTGTACTTCACCTTTAATCTAGATCAGAATGTTGTGTTGTGTACCACTATTATATTCTGTTCCCTCTTTAAAAAGTAACTGAAATGCATAGATTTTTTTAAACCAAATATCATGGGACCAGAGTTGGTGACCTGAATCGTGTTCATTAGGGAGCACTACAGCAAAACGTTTTTGCAAATTCTTATTGGATAAGTTGACATGGTACCTTCCCTGTTTCAGGCCGTTTTCTTCTGTTTGGAGCATACTGAACACACAGCGGTGTATTGATTACTAATCGTGTGACTGACTGTGATCTGTTGCATTGACCAAGGTCCAGATAAAACGGAAGAGAAGGAGTGCAGGATGGAGGTGACCTGCAACGGTCACGCCCACTCGGAGGGGGAGGAGAACACGGTGAGCCAGGCGGTACAGAGGACCAATGAAGAAGAGCAGGAAGACGAAGAGGACCAACAGAAAGACAAACTCAACGCCTGCACCCCCGACAACGCCAGCATGGAGGGTCGGGACTTGCCGGTCAATGCAGCTTACCCGGAATACAACGGCACAGGGCCCGGCATCCCACACGATCCCGGAACAGACGGTAAAGAAGGGAGAGAGCAGGGGAAGGAGGGAGAGATGGAGGAGTGTAAACGACCAGAGAAGGATGAGGAAGAGATTGAGACTGAGGTGATGCCTGGAACAGAGGATGAAGAGGAGAGCGAGAGGAACGGTTAGTGGTGGAGAGGTGACACTTTGCTGGGTACTTCATCAGGAGGCTGCAACGTTCCAGAACGTTCAGATGGAACAGAGATGTCATGTAGATCACACGTCTCTCTGACATGTAGATTAAATGATGGTCAGATCTACTCCTTGCATGTCTATCTGCAACATTCTGAATGTTTCACCTCACTGAATACCCTCCAGCTGATGGTGTAAGTGTTATGTTATCTGTAAGAGTCCGTAGCTGTTAGTCTCCCCACTAACAACCACCTAAGTGCTCCTAATATCACCTCCTCTTCTTTCAATCTCCACTTCGCTTTCCTCTCTTCACAGGGATGTTTTTTTATATACTATATATACAAAACAGTGGAGGCTGATGAGGGGAGAACGGCTCATAATAATGTCCGGAACAGAGCAAATGGAATGGCATCAAACACCTGGAAACTGTGTGTTTTGATGTATTTGATACCATTCCACTGATTCCGCTCCAGCCATTACCACGAGCCCGTTCTCCCCAATTAAGGTGCCACCAACCTCCTGTGATACAAAAGTATGTGGACACCGCTTCAAATTGGTGGATTCGGCTATTTCAGACAGGTGTATAAAATCGAGCACACAGCCATAGACAAACATTGGCAGTAGAATGGCCCGTACTGAAGAGCGCAGTGACCTTCAATGTGGCACCGTCATAGGATGCCACCTTTCCAACAAGTCAGTTCGTCATATTTCTACCCTGCTAGAGCTGCCCCGGCCATCTGTAAGTGCTGTTATTGTGAAATGGAAACATCTAGAAGCAACAACAGCTCAGCCGCAAGGTAGTAGGCCACATAAGCTCACAGAACGGGAACGCTGAAGTGCGTAGCTCGTAAAAAAATAATTTGTCCTCGTTTGCATCACTCACTACCGAGTTCCAAACTGCCTCTGGAAGCAACGTCAGCACAAGAACTGTTCGTCTGGAGCTTCATGAAATGGGTTTCCATGGCCGAGCAGCCGCACACAAGCCTAAGATCACCTTGCGCAATGCCAAGCGTCGGCTGGAGTGGCGTAAAGCTCGCGGTCATTGGACTCTGGAGTAGTGGAAACGCGTTCTCTGGAGTGAGGAATCACGCTTCACCATCTGGCAGTCCGACGGACGAATCTGGGTTTGGTGGATGCCAGGAGAACGCTACCTGCCCCAATGCATAGTGCCAACTGTAAAGTTTGGTGGAGGAGGAATAATGGTCTGGTGCTGTTTTTGATGGTTCGGGCTAGGCCCCTTAGTGCCAGTGAAGGGGAATCTTAATGCTACAGCATACAATGACATTCTAGACGATTCTGTGCTTCCAGCTTTGTGGCAACAGTTTGGGGAAGGCCCTTTCCTGTTTCAGCATGAGCGAGGTCCATACAGAAATGGTTTGTCGAGATTGGTGTGTAAGAACTTGACTGGCCTGCACAGAGCCCTGACCTCAACCCCATTGAACACCTTTGGGATGAATTGGAACAGCGACTAATCGCCCTACATCAGTGCCCGACCTCACTAATACTCTTGTGGCTGAATGGAAGCAAGGCCCCACAGCAATGTTCCAACATCTAGTGGAAAGCCTTCCCAGAAGAGTGGAGGCTGTTATAGCAGCAAAGGGGGGACCAACTCCATATTAATGCCCATGATTTTGGAATGAGATGTTCGACAAGCAGGTGTCCACATACTTTTGGTCATGTAGTGGATGTTCACTTGGCTAATGCATTGTGTTCCTCTCTCATTCTTTCTCTCATGTCTCTAGATAAAGTAGCTGCAGGTAGTCTGTTGGTCAACCCTCTGGATCCTCTCAATGCAGACAAGATCCAGATCAAAATAGCTGACCTGGGGAACGCCTGCTGGGTGGTGAGTACATCAGACATTCTGAAAGATAGTGTTGAAATAGCAGTGGGTCGGCTTGGCACCCATTCTGCAGTGGTATATGTGTTCCGGAGGCAGTGGCTTATACCACTGGACCACCCTAGACCACACTGTTTAGAAACGTTTAAATTCATCCTTACATAAATGCTGCCTTGAAGTACTTAATTGTTAATCAGGACAGGTAGTTGTGGAAGCTACACTTCTCATCGACTCCAGATAGGGCTGTTGCGATGACCGTATTACCTCCACACCGGCGGTCACGAGTCATGAAGGCATTCAAATTCCACGTGACCATTTAGTCACGGTAATTAGGCTTCTCCAAGCTCTGATGCTGCTGATGGTCATTAGTAGCCTACCAAACTTGCTAACTGCCTGGTACTCAGCACTCTATTGTCCCTCTAATCACTCGGACATCAATGCAAATGTAATCAAAAATCTAATCAATCACTTCATGAGAGCCCATGAGCTTATGTTGCACAACATTTCTATAGGCTATGCAATCGCACAAGAAAACAGTGATGGCCTCTATTAAAAAGAGGAGGATCCCATCAGCTTTCTATAGGCTAGGCCTACTATATTTATTTCTCAACTTTCCTAATATTAAGCACATTGCTTATCTTTACAACAGGAGTATAGCCTACCTGGCTGGCATGAAAATAAACCACGGGTAAAGTGTCCTCCATTCGCTATTTAAGGCATTGATTGAATGTATTTTTTCTCCTGCCCCTGTTTCAAGACAGGTGATGATAATGGCCCATTCTAAATCAAAACAAATTTCACACATATATATTATTTAGTATATGTAAAGACAAGATTAATTCAAGAATAGTCTGATGGGTGACAATATTAGCCTATCACTTGTGAATGATGCCCAACGTAAGGCAAGAAACAAAGCCTTTTTTTGTGCTTTTTCTAATCATAGTCGCACACCTCATGTAGCCTAGCCCATATGCCTATATGTTTTGATAAGGTTTGTATCACAACTGAAGTGGCCAAATAACTTCTTAAAATTAAGCACATTCATCCGCTTTACCAGGAGTGTAGAGCCTAACTGGCATACATAAGCAGCACGTGAGTTTCAAGTTTGGGGAAGATCATTTTCACCATAAAAATGCACCTTTATAATAAAAGCATTACATGCATAATCGCATTGGCGGTCACTTTTGATAACAGGGTTTTCCCGCTAATGGAACATTCGCGCTTATAGCCTACTGCCGTGTGCGCATTGCTGCGCTGATAATGTGAAGAAATAACCTAATAGTTGATCAACATTTCAAGCTAAACGTTCTGATCTGTTGCTTCAGCCACATTGCATAAAAAAGTTTTTGGGATGCTAGTGGTTGTATTAATTTGGGATCTATCGCATCCCACAACTGTCCCAGACTATGTTTGGAATATTTATTTATCGCACAGAATAGAATAGGTCGACTTTTGCACTATGGGGGATAGTATATTGACATAGGCTAGTGCTTTTGCTGTTCGTTAGGTCGACTCATCTTGTTGGCTGACGAAACGTAAATGTGGACAGTTCTTCCAATATCTTCAATATGCACCTTGGAATTGGATAAGGACATGAGCAGTTGCGTCCCCGATGTCTGTCTTCACTTGTAGCCTGTGAAAAATAATTGTTCACGTGAAGGAGAGCCATGTGAGTGAGAGGTGCTTCGGAGCGCACAGCACTCAGAGGAAAATATCCTTTCTGTTTAATTCAGCTTTGTTCAATTGTATCCTTCATACTATGAAATAATGCCACGGAACTCTTGTGTGCTAAATGAACTAGTGTAGCCCACAGCCATTTGGCATAGCCAGATCAGGACCTAACATAAGGACAACTCAGAGGATGCTATTCTGTTCTTCTGAAATAGACTACATTTTCTTCATATCATGTTTCTTTAGACTTGTCTAAAATAAATCATTGATGTATTGTGAAGGTGTAGACTATATTACATGGATTTTTTTAAATGTAGATGTTCCAAGGGTCTGCATCAGTGGCTTGTAGGCTATGTGTGGAAGCCAGGAGGTTTATGTTAATTAATTGTCAATTACCGTGAGCCCGACAGTTATTTGGTTGACATTCACTGGCTGACGAAATTTCGTGACCGCCACAGCCCTAACTCCCAGATGATCAGATGATGAAACTGACTGGATGAGCAACAGTTTTACTAATACGAGTCATTTCAGATCAGTGATGGCTTTTTTATTTTTCTGCCTTGCTCTCTCCCTTCTTTTATCTCTCTCTCTCCCTCAGCACAAGCACTTTACAGATGACATCCAAACTCGTCAGTACCGTTCTCTGGAGGTGTTGATGGGAGCGGGCTACGGGACGCCTGCTGATATCTGGAGTACTGCCGCAATGGTGGGTGGACACACATATACACACACACACACACACACACACACACACTCTCCTCCTGCATGTAATATCAACCCAAAACATGCCCTTGCCGGTCTGTGTTCCTGTCAGTTGAAACACACATTGAATGTTTCTGTTTACCAACTGTCAGAAATACCACAGGTCAGGTGGGCTGTATGATATTGACTTAGAAATAAATGTGATGCAGTGAAATGACTATGTAAAAAATAAATATAATTATGCGGGTTACAACTTACGATTACAACCATGTTTCATAAATGGGTTAGTTTCCTAAGGAAGGTCCCCCAGGAACATGAAACACCTTAGTAAATGTGGTTCTCTGTAGCTCAGCTGGTAGAGCACGGCGCTTGTAACCCCAAGGTAGTGGGTTCGATCCCCGGGACCACCCATACACAAAAAAAAATGTATGCACGCATGACTGTAAGTCGCTTTGGATAAAAGCGTCTGCTAAATGGCATATTATTATTATTATTATTATTATTATCCTCAGTAAGTTTAACTAGCCTAGCAGACAGTGCTTTGATATGTGCTTGTATTGAGCTGCTCGGCTGGCTAGTCATCAGTCTATACCCTGTCTGGTGTGACTGAGCGGTTCAAAACAACAACAAGGGCTGGCTATGGTCTACTTCATTAGTTACCTACACAGACGCATGAAGGAGAGCCTTCCCTGAAAGTCTCACCACACACACACACACACACACACACACACAGGAGATCAGCCTTCCTTGAAGTGCAGGAGGAGTGTGCTGACCTTCAGAAGGCAGTTAAACCACAAAGGAATGTGAGGGAAGAAACAGGACAAGGACAAGTTAAGAACATTTTATTCTGGTATACAATGGTTTGTGGTAGTGTGTTATAGTAACTATGTTGTGACTGTGTTTTGACCAGGCCTTTGAGCTGGCTACAGGAGACTACTTGTTTGAGCCTCACTCTGGACAGGACTACACAAGAGATGAAGGTATGATCCCCTCCTCCACCCCCCACCCTCCCTCTTATTTAAATCTTACAGATTGTGCCTTTTAAAAGTCTGTCAGATATTTTATACCTCAAAATAGGGACCTGTGTTTTGTGTGATCATGTGACATAGCAAGATTTTATCCTGTATTTTAATCAGGAAATTGAAAAATTACCCCACAATGAAAAGCAATTGTCTGAGGGTGGTGTTTGGGCAGTCTGACATATAAAGAAAAGGGGACAGTTTGATAAAATCGTTAAAAAAAAAATAAAGGTTCAAATCCCAGCATGTCATGTTTGCACAAAACACAAGGCCTTACTTTAGACACTCACATCCATTGGCATCCTGCTGCTGTCTCCCTGAGGACCTTTATCACAAATGAGATCGGCACCATGTTATTCATTTCTCCTCCTCTTCTGTGTGTTTAGACCACATAGCGCTGATCATTGAGCTACTGGGCAAAGTTCCTAGGAAGCTGATCTTAGCAGGAAAATACTCCAAGGAATTCTTCACCAAGAAAGGTAAACAAATGCCACACCTACTGTTTCTTAGTGTTAGTGTGTGTGTCAGTGTTAGTGTTAGTGTGTGTGTCAGTGTGTGTGTGTGTGTGTCAGTGTGTGTGTGTGTGTGTGTGTCAGTGTTAGTGTTAGTGTGTGTGTTAGTGTGTGTGTCAGTGTGTGTGTGTTAGTGTGTGTGTCAGTGTGTGTGTGTGTCTGTGTGTGTGTCAGTGTTAGTGGGAGTGTGTGTGTGTGTGTGTCTGTGTTAGTGTGTGTGTGTGTGTCTGTGTTAGTGTGTGTGTGTGTGTGTGTGTGTCAGTGTTAGTGGGAGTGTGTGTGTCAGTGTGTGTGTGTGTGATGTTTTTCTGTCTTTTTGCTTTTTCTTGTAAACTCAAACAAGGTCTGTATTATAGTGTATTATAGTTATCCTAGTTTCATAGTTTTTGTGTCCTAGCAGGTTTAATGTTGAGCCTTATCTATGTGTGTGATGTTTTTCTGTTTTATTGATCTTTCCACATGTAAACTTAACTTTTTGCGGTATGTGTGTAGTTAACTCCCTCCCTCCCTCCCCGTATAGGTGAACTGAGGCACATTACCAAGCTGAAGCCGTGGGGTCTGTTGGAGGTATTGGTAGAGAAGTATGAGTGGTCTAAAGAGGAGGCAGCTACCTTCGCCAGCTTCCTGCTCCCAATGTTAGACCTGGTACCAGAGAAGAGAGCCACGGCTGCAGAGTGCCTCCGACACGCATGGATCGCCCCCTAGAGGATCCCTGGCGCTACTACAGCCACAAGCAATACATATACAGTACATACAGACATGCACACATATACATGAACATGCGTACATATACACACAAACCCAGACACTCTTCAACATACATGCACACATTCAAACATACGTAAACGCACACCTCAACGGAGAGCCAGTGCTTTCGCTATGACTGCATCTCCACCTAGTGGTTCAAGTCAACACATACACTCCCAACATACGCACGCGCACACACCCACACTAGAGACTGGCTGCTGAAAACCCTAGGGTCATATAAAACACTGGTTCCAGATAATCCAGTAGAACTCTATCTGTTTCTCTTATTTGGTTCCTTGTTTCTACTGACTGGATATCACTTGAGTATCTGATGTATTTTTGTTCCTCTTCTCTCCCTTTCTTCTCTCTGTACCAATGATGACACCTAGTAACACGTTTTGTTCTGAGAGTGTCCTTTCTTTTAGTTTACTTCTTGTTTGTTTGACAGATGTGCATGTTCAATCAGATTTAAGATCTCCAATGGAATTTTTGTTCTGCAATCATATCTCCAGAACACCAGCCGTCTACCACTAGACTAGCACATCCAGAATGTTTTTGTTTTATGTACAGTGTTGATAGAGGTTAGTTGGAATCTTTCCTTCAATAACAAAGCATATTTATTATGTGTTTGTGGGGAAGAGTAGCTGCCTAGAGTACGATAAGGAAGGTTTGGACTCTGTCATAGATTCTAAGGATTCTCCATGAAGTCTTCCTGAACTGGGAACCGATGTGAATGAACTGAAACTGACTGAACGGAATGGAACCTTCTAGTTCCACGTGTGTTTCTGTCTCTTCTATGACATCATCCCTGTCCTTCCTTGTCTCGCTCCAGGTAGCAGCTTTGGAATAGCACAATGTGGGGATAGTACCATAAACTCATTTCATTTAATTTACTACTTTCTGTTACCTGCATGGGTCCACAGACCACGACTAGACTAATGCTACTGAATAACCATGTTTCAAACGTTCTCTCCTGTGGTGTTTAACATTCCAGACAAGGTTTGCCTCAGAGAAGAAGAAAACAGAATGCTATGGCCGTTAGCCAGATGATGTGATACAATATCATGAGAATTTTCCACTTTCACACAATGATCAGAATCGGAATACTACTGTATCCGATTCCAGAACGTCCAATTCAGATATATATATATATATTTTTTCTATTCAGATGATCGTGGCTGCCTTCCATAAATGGCACCCTGTTCCTATATAGTTAGGAACAGGGTGCCATTTTGAACGCGTACCATGTCTGGACCCCTGTGTTGTACATATCTGTACCAAAAGAGTTGGCCTTGGCTCTCTGCTTTCCCTCTACAGAACAGCGGCTGTACAGTTTTTAGGAGTTGCTGTTTGAACTGTGTACATTATAAAGGAGAGGAGGCTGGTTGCTTCCCAAATGGCACCCTATTCCCTACATAGTGCACACTACTTTTGAACAGATTCCTAAGGGCCCCGTTCAAAAGTAGTGCACTACATAGGGAATAGGGTGCCATTTTGAGACAGAGCATGTTTGAAAATGTTTGACTCGTTTAGGAGGTCAACTGATGCTGAATTTTAAAGCTTATTTTCGTACTGACGTTGCCCCGCTTGCAGTGTTCTGCTGTTTTAACTGTATCAAAGAGAAACAAAATGGTGGATTGTAATAATAATGATGAGGCTGTAATAAGGCTTTGAAGCCCCCCCCCCCCCCCCCGCTCTTTTTCTACAAGCCTCCTCCCTTCTCGATTATCTTTCCCTGACCGCTCATTGCCTCCCTTCCTCCTGCATTTGATTGTTCACTGCTAAATTGAGCCCCTTTTCTGTAGTTAATAAAAATGAAGATTTTGAAAATGGCTGACTTGTAATTGTTAGGAGGATGCTATAGTATTTTCTATATTCCAGTAAAGCAAGTGTTGCCGATGTGAAAAATGTAATATGCTTTGTGGGTGAAAGTTGTCAATGTGTTCAGAGGGTCCATGGTTGGGGCAAGGAGAAGGACTAAAGAAACACGATTACACAAGGTTGGCAAATATTAATATGGAACATTTTTATTATTATTGTGTTATCAGCGTTCTACCAGGGACTTGAATTATTGTAAAGTGGTCCTTGAATTGGAGTTTATATTGGCTCTCAACTAGCTGGGCTTTATTCCATCATCAACAGTACCTCTCAGATCCTTCAGTCATGTTGTTATTCTATGTATTGTATGTAGGAAGTCTTCTGTGGTCGATGAGCTCAGGCTTCCTCTGAAACAGAGAAAGAGAACTGACTGTTACATCATGGGAGCATTGTGTAAAATGTGTTGGGGGGGAGGGGGTATGGATGTGGGTACGCAGACCCATGAGCCACTGCGGCCCCTCATGAAGAGTTCTGTTTTTTTGTGGCCCCCACCCCATCAGATGCCCATACCTGGTGTAGATGAAGGGGAGGAGACAGGTTAAAGAAGGATTTTAAAGCCTTGAGACAATTGAGACATGGATTGTGTGTGTGTCGTTAAGAGGGTGAATGGGCAAGACAAAATATTTAAGTGCCTTTGAACGGCGCACCGGTTTGTCTCAAGAACTGCAACGCTGCTGGGTTTTCACTCTCAACAATTTCCTGTGTGTATCAAGAATGGTCCACCACCCAAAGGACATCCAGCCAACTTGACACAACTGTGGGAAGCATTGGAGTCAACATGGACCAGCATCCCTGTGGAACGCTTTCAACACCTTGTAGAGTCCATGCCCCGACGAATTGAGGCTGCTCTGAGGGCAAAGGGGGGTGCAACTCAATATTAGGAAGGTGTTCTTAATGTTTTGTCACAGGTCTATAAGGCCTATACTATGTTATATTCTCCCAATTAATACAGAGCCTTCAAAGTATTCAGTTTTTCCACGTTTTGTTGATTTACAGCCTGAATTTCAAATCGATTGAGATTTTGTGTCACTGGCCTACACAAAATACCCCATGTCGAAGTGGAATTATGTTTTTAAAATTTTTGTACAAATTAATTAAAAATGAAAAGCTGAATGGTCTTGAGTCAAGTATTCAACCCCTTTGTTATGGCAAGCCTAATTAAGTTCAGGAGTAGAAATGTACTTAACAAGTCACATAAGTTGCATGGACTCTGTGTGCAATAATAGTGCTTAACATGATTTTTGAATGACTACCTCATCTCTGTACCCCACACATACAATAATATGTAGGGTCCCTCAGTCGAGCAGTACATTTCAAACACAGATTCAACCACAAAGACCAAGGGAGAGTTTCTAATGCTTCGCAAAGAGGGGGAGGTATTGGTAATGTTGTTTTTTTAAGCAGACAGTGAATATCCCTTTGAGCATGGTGAAGTTATTAATTACACTTTGGATGGTGTAGCAATACACTCAGTCACTACAAAGATACAGGCGTCGTTCCTAACTCAGTTGCCGGAGAGGACGGAAACCGCTCAGGGATTTCACCATGAGGCCAATGGTGACTTTAAAACAGTTAGAGTTGAATGGCTGTGATAAGAGAACTGAGGATGGATAAAAATTGTAGTTACTCCACAATACTAAACTAATTGACAGTGAAAAGAAGGAAGCCTGTACAGAATAAAAATATTCCAAATGCATCCTGTTTGCAACAAGGCACTAAAGTAATAACTACAAAAAAAATTGGCAAAGCGATTAACTTTTTGTAATGAATACAAAGTGTTATTTCTGGGGCAAATCCAATACAACACATTACTGAGTATCACTCTTTATATTTTCAAATATAGTGGTGGCTGGATCATGTTATGGATATGCTTGTAATCGTTAAGGACTGGGGAGTTTTTCAGGATAAGAAGAGAAATGGAGCTAAGCACAGGCAAAATCCTAGCGTAAAACCTGGTTCAGTCTACTTTCCACAAGACACTGGGAGATGAATTCACCTTTCAGCAGGACAATAACCTAAAACAGAAGGACAAATATACACTGGAGTTGCTTACCAAGACGACATTGAATGTTCCTGAGTGGCCTAGTTACAGTTTTGACTTAAATTGGCTTAAGTCTATGGCAACACTTAAATGGCTGCCTAGCAATGATCAGCAACCAACTTGACAGAACTTGAAGAATTTTAAAAAATAATGTGCAAATATTGTACAATCCAGGTGTGCCAAGCTCTTAGAGACTTACCCAGAAAGAGTCACAGCTGTAATCGCTGCCAAAGGTGATTCTAACACGTATTGATTTATGTATATTGAGATTTCTGTATTTCATTTTCAATACATTTGCTAAAATTACTAAAAACATGTTTTCACTTTGTCATTATGGGGTATTGTGTGTAGATGGGTGAAAAAACAACATCCATTTTGAATTGAGGCTGTAACAACAACATGTGGAATAATTCAATGGGTATGAATACTTTCTGAAGGCACTGTACCTCTCAATGACTCATGGTGTTTTGGAAAGTTGCTTTGCCTAAATGTATTTTTAATAACTGCGTGTTTGATGTGGTCCCAATTTCTCATTACGCGCTCAGTGAACGGCCCTCTGGTGATCTGATTCCAGCACTAATGATGTGGACAACAGCTAGAGACTAATGTAGAATGCCTCGTTTTGGAGGAACATTCTGCTCACACACATCAACATCACTTCTGGAATTGAGGTTATAATAGACTTGATATTTTCTCTCTCCTCTCTCTCTCTATTCTCTCTCTATTCTCTCTTTCTATTTGCTCTCTCTCTCCACCACTTTTCTGCTTTCCAGTTTTTTTTAAAGTCTGGAGATGGAAGACGGTTGAGGTACCATTTTATAATTCTATAATTCAACTTTTCCATGTGTCTCCATCGCACCCTTTCTCACCCCTTTCCACTCCTTCCACACCTTTTTATTTCCCTTCCAACCCAAAAGGTTTCGGGCAGTAGTTTGTCCTGTCTCCCAAAGAGAAGGCATGCCCATCTCTTCCCTCCATACATTCCTCCTCATCTCTCCATACCTTTGTCTTTTTCTTTCCCCTCCAGCTGATAGATGTCAGGCAGTAGTTGGTCCTGTCTGTTCCCCAGGGACAATGCTAGGAAGGAGTGGATGAGAGAGTCTATGATGCTGATGATAGCCAGGATGTAGGCCCAGCGCACTGTGCAGTTACCCAGGGTGTGCTTATCTGTTCTCTGTTCACACATCCTCTTCACCTCCTCACTGTCGCAGCCGTCCGGGTAGATCATACAGACCTCAGCCATCTCACCAGCGCTTAGCACACGCTGCCACGTCATAGGATTAGATGACACCTTGAAACATTACACACACTTACTTTCTAATCTGCCTCAGGGAAACCACTCTCACTGGTGCACAAACACTCTTACCTTCTAACCTGACACAGCACACAAGGACACTCTCTTTCAAACCTGGAACAAACACTCTCACTCTACCCTGGCACTGGAAACACTCTCACTCTACCCTGGCACTGGAAACACTCTCACTCTACCCTGGCACTGGAAACACACTCCCACTCTATCCTGGCACTGGAAACACACTCCCACTCTATCCTGGCACTGGAAACACACTCTCACTCTACCCTGGCACTGGAAACACTCTCCCTCTACCCTGGCACTGGAAACACACTATATCCTGGCACTGGAAACACACTCTCACTCTACCCTGGCACTGGAAACACTCTCACTCTACCCTGGCACTGGAAACACACTGCCACTCTACCCTGGCACTGGAAACACACTCTCACTCTACCCTGGCACTGGAAACACACTCTCACTCTACCCTGGCACTGGAAACACTCTCACTCTACCCTGGCACTGGAAACACTCTCACTCTACCCTGGCACTGGAAACACACTCCCACTCTATCCTGGCACTGGAAACACACTCCCACTCTATCCTGGCACTGGAAACACACTCTCACTCTACCCTGGCACTGGAAACACTCTCCCTCTACCCTGGCACTGGAAACACACTATATCCTGGCACTGGAAACACACTCTCACTCTACCCTGGCACTGGAAACACTCTCACTCTACCCTGGCACTGGAAACACACTCCCACTCTACCCTGGCACTGGAAACACACTCTATCCTGGCACTGGAAACACACTCTCACTCTACCCTGGCACTGGAAACACACTCTCACTCTACCCTGGCACTGGAAACACTCTCACTCTACCCTGGCACTGGAAACACACTGCCACTCTACCCTGGCACTGGAAACACACTCTCACTCTACCCTGGCACTGGAAACACTCTCACTCTACCCTGGCACTGGAAACACTCTCACTCTACCCTGGCACTGGAAACACACTCTCACTCTATCCTGGCACTGGAAACACACTCTCACTCTACCCTGGCACTGGAAACACTCTCACTCTACCCTGGCACTGGAAACACTCTCACTCTACCCTGGCACTGGAAACACACTCCCACTCTACCCTGGCACTGGAAACACACTGCCACTCTACCCTGGCACTGGAAACACACTGCCACTCTACCCTGGCACTGGAAACACTCTCACTCTACCCTGGCACTGGAAACACACTGCCACTCTACCCTGGCACTGGAAACACACTCTCACTCTACCCTGGCACTGGAAACACTCTCACTCTACCCTGGCACAGGAAACACACTCTCACTCTACCCTGGCACTGGAAACATACTCTCACTCTACCCTGGCACTGGAAACACACTCCCACTCTATCCTGGCACTGGAAACACACTCCCACTCTATCCTGGCACTGGAAACACACTCTCACTCTACCCTGGCACTGGAAACACACTCTATCCTGGCACTGGAAATACACTCTCACTCTACCCTGGCACTGGAAACACACTCCCACTCTATCCTGGCACTGGAAACACACTCTCACTCTACCCTGGCACTGGAAACACACTCCCACTCTATCCTGGCACTGGAAACACACTCTCACTCTACCCTGGCACTGGAAACACTCTCTCACTCTACCCTGGCACTGGAAACACTCTCTCACTCTACACATTTACATCATTTAGCAGACGCTTTTATCCAGAGCGACTTACAAATTGGTGAATTCACCTTATAGCCAGTGGGATAACCACTTTACAATTTATTTATTTATTTATTTATTTATTTATTTTTTGGGGGGGGGGGGTAGAAGGATTACTTTATCCTATCCCAGGTATTCCTTAAAGAGGTGGGGTTTCAAATGTCTCCGGAAGGTGGTGAGTGACTCCGCTGTCCTGGCGTCGTGAGGGAGCTTGTTCCACCATTGGGGTGCCAGAGCAGCGAACAGTTTTGACTGGGCTGAGCGGGAACTATGCTTCCGCAGAGGTAGGGGAGCCAGCAGGCCAGAGGTGGATGAACGCAATGCCCTCGTTTGGGTGCAGGGACTGATCAGAGCCTGAAGGTACGGAGGTGCCGTTCCCCTCACAGCTCCGTAGGCAAGCACCATGGTCTTGTAGCAGATGCGAGCTTCAACTGGAAGCCAGTGGAGTGTGCGGAGGAGCGGGGTGACGTGAGAGAACTTGGGAAGGTTGAACACCAGACGGGCTGCGGCATTCTGGATGAGTTGTAGGGGTTTAATGGCACAGGCAGGGAGCCCAGCCAACAGCGAGTTGCAGTAATCCAGACGGGAGATGACAAGTGCCTGGATTAGGACCTGTGTAAGGCAGGGTCGTACTCTCCGAATGTTGTAGAGCATGAACCTACAGGATCGGGTCACCACCTTGATGTTAGCGGAGAACGACAGGGTTTTGTCCAGGGTCACACCAAGGCTCTTCGCACTCTGGGAGGAGAACACAACGGAGTTGTCAACCGTGATGGCGAGATCATGGAACAGGCAGTCCTTCCCCGGGAGGAAGAGCAGCTCCGTCTTGCCAAGGTTCAGCTTGAGGTGGTGATCCGTCATCCATACTGATATGTCTGCCAGACATGCAGAGATGCGATTCGCCACCTGGTTATCAGAAGGGGGAAAGGAGAAGATTAGTTGTGTGTCGTCTGCGTAGCAATGATAGGAGAGGCCATGTGAGGATATGACAGAGCCAAGTGACTTGGTGTATAGCGAGAATAGGAGAGGGCCTAGAACTGAGCCCTGGGGGACACCAGTGGTGAGAGCACGTGGTGCGGAGACAGCTTCTCGCCACGCCACTTGGTAGGAGAGACCGGTCAGGTAGTACGCAATCCAAGAGTGAGCCGTGCCGGAGATGCCCAGCTCGGAGAGGGTGGAGAGGAGGATCTGATGGTTCACAGTATCAAAGGCAGCAGACGGGTCTAGAAGGACAAGAGCAGAGGAGAGAGAGTTAGCTTTAGCAGTGCGGAGAGCCTCCGTGACACAGAGAAGAGCAGTCTCAGTTGAATGACCAGTCTTGAAACCTGACTGGTTTGGATCAAGAAGGTCATTCTGAGAGAGATAGCAAGAGAGTTGGCTAAAGACGGCACGCTCAATAGTTTTGGAGAGAAAAGAAAGAAGGGATACTGGTCGGTAGTTGTTGACATCAGAGGGATCGAGTGTTGGTTTTTTGAGAAGGGGTGCAACTCTCGCTCTCTTGAAGACAGAAGGGACATAGCCAGCGGTCAAGGATGAGTTGATCAGCGAGGTGAGGTAAGGGAGAAGGTCACCGGAGATGGTCTGGAGAAGAGAGGAGGGGATAGGGTCAAGCGGGCAGGTTGTTGGGCGGCCTGCCGTCACAAGTCGCAAGATTTTATCTGGAGAGAGAGGGGAGAAAGAAGTCAAAGCATAGGGTAGGGCAGTGTGAGCAGGACCAGCAGTGTCATTTGACTTAACAAACGAGGATCGGATGTCGTCAACCTTCTTTTCAAAATGGTTGACGAAGTCATCCACAGAGAGGGAGGAGGGCGGGGGGAGGAGGATTCAGCAGGGAGGAGAATGTGGCAAAGAGCTTCCTAGGGTTAGAGGCAGATGCTTGGAATTTAGAGTGGTAGAAAGTGGCCTTAGCAGCAGAAACAGATGAAGAAAATGTAGAGAGGAGGGAGTGAAAAGATGCCAGGTCCGCAGGGAGTCTAGTTTTCTTCCATTTCCGCTCAGCTGCCCGGAGCTCTGTTCTGTGAGCTCGCAATGAGTCATCAAGCCACGGAGCTGGAGGGGAGGACCGAGCCGGCCGGGAGGATAGGGGACATAGAGAGTCAAAGGATGCAGAAAGGGAGGAGAGGAGGGTTGAGGAGGCAGAATCAGGAGATTGGAAGGAGAAGGATTGAGCAGAGGGAAGAGATGATAGGATGGAAGAGGAGAGAGTAGCGGGAGAGAGAGAGCGAAGGTTGCGACGGCGCATTACCATCTGTGTAGGGGCAGAGTGAGTAGTGTTGGAGGAGTACTCTACCTTGGTACTGTCAACAGCTTGCCTTGAGAGCTTACGGGTGTGTTGTTTTGTTCCAACACTAACTAACGTAATTACTTTAGTTGAATCAATGTGCTGGGCTATAACAAAAGCCTGCACCACATAGCTATCCAGACCAAGAGTTGGTGACAATACTAGCTACCCTCTTCCTCTATGTAGCTGTCCTTGGTGCTGAACAGCTCATTCTGTTCATTTCTTGAACTACCCTGGAAAAGTTGTGCACTCAGTGATGTCAAAGGCGAGTGCACAAATAGACCCGTGTTGCCATGGGGAAAAGCCTTGGTGTAGCATTACACACAACACAGGCAGGCGGGTCGGTGTGGGAGCAGGGACAAGTATGGAATGGAAGGAGATGGAGATGGAGGAGGAAATGGTAGAGAAAGAGGAGAAGGAGGAAGAGAAGGAGATGGAGGAGGAGGAGGAGGAGGAGGGGAGAGAGGAGAGAGGAGATGGAGGAAGAGAAGGAGATGGAGGAGGAGGAGGAAGGAGATGGAGGAGGAAGAGAAGGAGATGGAGGAGGAGGAGGAGATGGAGGAGGATGGAGGAGGAGGAGGAAGAGAAGGAGATGGAGGAGGAAGAGGAGGAGATGGAGGAGGAGGAGGAGGTAGAGAGGAGGGGGAGGAGGAGGAGAGGAGGAGATGAAGGAGGAAGAGATGGAGGAGAAGGAGATGGGGAGGAGGAAGGAGGAGGAGGGGGAAGAGAAGGAGATGGAGGAGGACCATGAGGAGGAGGAGGAAGAGAAGGGGGATGATGATGAACAGGTGGAGATCAAGGAAAAGGAGGTGGAGAAAGAGAAGGATATAAAAAATCTGCAGCTTCTTAAAGTTAAAAACAAGTTACAAACAGCATCAACCACATTATCATCCCATCTTCTTCTACTCACATGAGGCGAATTGCATCCAAGCACAGATCTTGTACACACTCCCTGCATTGCAGAAGAAGAAGAGGCTGAAGCAAACGATGCTCCCCACCACCAGCAGCATGGAGATACCAACGAAGAACATGGCTGTCTTGAAGGCTCCGGACGGGATGGAGCCGAAGTCCAGCGCACTCCCTTTGCAGATGAGTTCGCCAGTGAGCGCGTTCCCGATGCAATAGTGGAACAGGCCGAAGTAGCCTTCCTGCGGAGTGTTGACGCTGTCACCGATCCAGTAGGGCAGGAGGAGAGGGACACCAAGAAGAAATATGCGCTGCCTGTGTTGTGTTTAGGTTACTTGCAGCATCTTAGCGCACTGCGTAAGATAGCTAAAACACAGGCTTTCTTCAGGCAACCTAGCAGCTGATATGTAGGCTAATCAGTTGTGCCTTTACCCCACTAATGGTTAAGGTTATAATTGGGGGAGGGGAAGCTGACCTGTATGAACACCACCATCACCAAGATGGCGAAGCAGATTGTAAAGATGGTCCACAGGACGCCCACTGCGCGCGCGTTACGCACGTGGTTGGTGTGGTAGATCTTGGCTGCTTCCTGTGCTGGGAGCATGGCGACGGTTGGAGAAACTATTGCTAGATATCTATGATGGCTGTCTAGATATCTATGCTGAAGAAGAAAATTCCGCACTATAAATTCACACACGGACGTAGAGTGGGCGAGAGGATTGCGTTTCTCTGAAGGTTTCCAAGTGACTGACATTCAGTAAGTCAAGAGAGAGAAAGAAAAACGCAGCCTGTTTTTGAATAGTTGATTCCTTCAACCTACACTCCCTCGCACCATCACTTATAGATGTAGGCTATTCCTCCGTTTAGAATAGTGGAGAGACGCACAGGTAGCTAGAGAGAGTTGTATCTGCGTTGCCTCTTCTGTCCATCGCCAGTCCTGATGCGCGCCGCTGCTGCTCGGAAATTCAAAACCATGGACAGCTACCTGTGCTGAACGCGTTTCTTGTTGACCTAGCCCCTCTCACACACACACACACACACACACACACACAGTCTCGTCACTTGTTGACATAGCATCTCTCTCTCTTTCTCACAAATACACACACAGACACTAAATGTAACAACCAACACGGACCCCACATGGAACAGATTGATGATTTGACAGTTGTGTAGAACAGCCAGTCAGAATACCACCTGTTGAAATGTTTGGTTCCTAACTGAGGCATGCAGTGGAAGGTGGGACTAGTGGGTAATGCCTCGTGTATTTATCAGAATGTCAAATAATTATTAATTGATGGCGGGAAACAGATCCTTGGAATAGAATGACAGTGGGCGCCCTGGCTACCAGATGGTGAGCGAGGAAAGTTCTAGGCTACTTATTGATGGTCGGATGTCTTGTCTACAGAGAAAAGGCAAAGTAGCCTAGGCATCCCTACTCAGGCACCCGAAAACAACCGTGTCTCCAGACACTTCGTGAGTGTCTTATAGCCTATGTGAAGGCCTATCTTGCATGACAATGTCATAATAATGGTATATGATGTGAAAAGATAGACGGCCATATAGGGCTATTTTATAGTTTAATTCAAGTTGGGGGTTCAGGTCAGGGCCATGTTCACCAGTAGGTGTCGCTATAACGTTATAATTGAAATGTCTTTAGTTCTCTTTACAGTTTTTTTCAATTGTTTAAGCACAATTTTGAAAACAGGGCCCGGTTTGTCAAAACACTACACACAATTAGCACAACCCTACACCAAAGTAGCACAACACTTCAGATAATTTGCAAAATGGAACACTTGTCAAAACTATACACGACTTCATAAAAACAATATTTTGTTACCATACGAAACACACATTTCATATGACTTCAATCTTTTTGAACCAGTTACACACTGCTGTTGCTAACCTAAAACACTTTTAGCAAGTCTAATTCTAGGTGATTAGAGTACTGTAAATGAAGTACACAGAGAAAGTGCAACTATACAAACACTACACAAGACCAATGCTGCAGACTGAGGAAATATCATTTATTTCTCTCCATATACCCAAATCAGTCAACATGTCAACATGGAGAATCACAACAAAACATGTCCCAGTTTTCATGCTACTACAGTAGTGTGCATAACACTGTTAGCTCAGCAAACAACAGACAAACGTAAAATACTGTATCCAGTACAGGTTACAATTACAGTAAATAACAACAACAAACATAAAAAATAATCTGAAAAAAAACGGACAATATTGTACAGAAAACACTACAGTAAACATACTATACATTATCTCTTCGCCTAGCTGGATCTGGCCAGAGAATTTCATCAACATCACAAGCAATATCCTCATTAGCAAGACAACGCGGGAAAAACCGTCTTGAATGTCGAATCCATCCTTGCACAGCTGCGGCGTCGACTTGGTCACAGGCGTCCTCCATGGCCTGAATGAGGGGTGCCTGGGGCTGGAGATCGTAAACCTTCCACCGCCATGCAGAGAAAAACTATTCGATAGGGTTTAGAAACGGAGAGTATGGTGGAAAGTACTGTCAACTGTGGATGGTGTTGAAACCAGTTCTGGACCAAAGCAGAGCGGTGGAATGACACATTGTCCCAGATGACAGTTATTTGCATCTGGTGCATTTCATTACCTGCAGTGACGATGTGGTGCAATCGGTCCAAAAATGCGAGAATGTGAGGTGTGTTGTAAGGGCCCATTTTGGCATGACGGAGGAGAACTCCATGCTGTGAAATGGCAGCGCAAAGGGTGATGTTACCCTCACGTTGCCCTGGGAAATTGATTATAGCCCTGTGGCCAATTATATTTCTGCCTCTCCTTCTTGCTTTTGTGAGGTTGAACCCTGCCTCATCAATATATATGAATTCATGCAGGATTTCCTCAGCATCCATCTGCAAAACTCTGAAATACAGTGAAAGACAAGATTGTGTAGTTCAGGATAGGTCTAGTATACAGTCAATGTAAAAAAGTCATGTGTGCAGTATGCAACATCACAGTGCTAAAGTGAACAATACAAACCTCCACATACTCATAGCCGCAGCCATTTCACCCTCTCGGAATTCCGCTCAAAAAGGCACTCAATAAAGTTGTTTCATTTGAACCTGATGTCTTTTTCAGGATGCGTGCCAGTGTTGACTGGAGACCTGATTGGACATTATTGAAAATGCATGGTCACCGATAATGTTTGGCTTATAGTTCTCTGAGCCGGATAGCATTATTGGCCAAAACCATGTTTTATTAACTCTCTCTCTTGTTCTTTCGCTTGAATATGGGCCCCCTTCCCCTTGTCGTTCCCAGACACTCAAATCCTAGGTAGAGAAAATCGAATGTAACTTACTGTACAAATGTCACAGGAAGAGGTATCACAAGTGCTTGGATATGGTGCATACAATAAGCGGCTGAATTACTGTAACTGGAGACAGAATCTCTTTTACCTGTTTTCCTGTCGAAACAGTTGCTTTATGACCGATGACACTGTATATCTGCTAGAGATTGGCTTGAACAGTGAGAGACAGAATAACAACAAAAAAATTCAGAAAAACGCATGTCAAAAATGTTATAAATTGATTTGCATTTTAATGAGGGAAATAAGTATTTGACCCCCTCTCAATCAGAAAGATTTCTGGCTCCCAGCTGTATTTTATATAGGTAATGAGCTGAGATTAGGAGCACACTCTTAAAGGGAGTGCTCCTAATCTCAGTTTGTTACCTGTATAAAAGACACCTGTCCACAGAAGCAATCAATCAATCAGATTCCAAACTCTCCACCATGGCCAAGACCAAAGAGCTCTCCAAGGATATCAGGGACAAGAATGTAGACCTACACAAGGCTGGAATGGGCTACAAGACCATCGCCAAGCAGCTTGGTGAGAAGGTGACAACAGTTGGTGTGATTATTTGCAAATGGAAGAAACACAAAATAACTGTCAATCTCCCTCGGCCTGGGGCTCCATGCAAGATCTCACCTCGTGGAGTTGCAATGATCATGAGAACGGTGAGGAAACAGCCCAGATTACACGGGAGGATCTTGTCAATGATCTCAAGGCAGCTGGGACCATAGTCACCAAGAAAACAATGGTAACACATAACGCCATGAAGGACTGAAATCCTGCAGGCGCGCAAGGTCCCCTTGCTCAAGAAAGCAACATTTACAGGCCCGTCTGAAGTTTGACAATGAACATCTGAATATTCAGAGGAGAATGGATGAAAGTTTGTGGTCAAATGAGACCAAAATCGAGCTCTTTGGCATCAACTCAACTCGCAGGGTTTGGAGGAGGAGGAGAATGCTGCCTATGACCCCAATAACACCATCCCCACCATCAAACATGGAGGTGGAAAACATTATGCTTTGGGGGTTTTTTTTCTGCTAAGGGGACAGGACAACTTCACGCATCAAAGGGACGATGACTGGGGCCATTGTACGTCAAATCTTGCGTGAGAACTCCTTCCCTCAGCCAGGGCATGAACAGGGGTCGTGGATGGGTATTCCAGCATGACAATGACCCAAAACACACGGCCAAGGCACAAAGGAGTGGCTCAAGAAGAAGCACATAAGGTCCTGGAGTGGCATGCCAGTCTCCAGACCTTAATCCCATAGAAAATCTGTGGAGGGAGCTGAAGGTTCGAGTTGCCAAACGTCAGCTCGAACCTTAATGATTGGAGAAGATCGCAAAGAGGAGTGGGACAAAATCCCTCCTGAGATGTGTGCAACCTGGTGGCCAACTACAAGAAACGTCTGACCTCTGTGTTGCCAACAAGCGTTTTGCACCAAGTATAAGTCAGTTTTGCAGAGGGGTCAATACTATTCCCCATTAAAAGCAAACAAAAACATTTTTTACAGGTTTTTTTTTGGATTTTTTTGTTTTTATTCTGTTTCATGTTCAAAAAACCTACCATTAAAATTATAGACTGTCATGTCTTTGTCAGGGGCAAACGTACAAAATCAGCAGGGGGCAAATTTCTTTTTTCCCCCCAAAAATACGTTTTCCGGCAAAATCCTTTTTTTTCCCGAGTGACATCATGATATACTTCTGTGTCTGATGTATACAAGTGTGGTTTAGTGTTTTGCAAATCACTGTATGTAATGTTTTGCAAATAGTGTGAAGCTGACAATGTGCTTACAGTTGTGCAAATCTAGCCTTGTGTTTTGCTCCTTGAGTGTAAGGTTTTGCTAATTGTGGGAAAAGTTTAATTTTAGTGTGTAAGCAATCGTAAAAAACTGTAATAGGTCATCACACACATGAACAGTCAGACTAAAATCAGAAAACGTAGGCCTATTCCTGAATTTGGTAAAACGAGGCTATGGGTCGATTTAAACAAATCTTATTCAGCCACTTAGGCTCTAAAATACGTCACAAGGCCTAATTTTATGACAATTGATCTATAGTTGTAGTCCCGTGTAGCTCAGTTGGTAGAGCATGGCGCTTGCAACGCCAGGGTTGTGGGTTCGATTCCTGGATAAGAGCGTCTGCTAAATTACTCAAATGTAAATCTAGAGTTGACAGTCGTCAGCCATGTGAGTAATAAGGGACACAATTGCTTTCCTCCAGCTAAAATGTTACCAGAAACAGATGGATTGTGCTTTTCTGTTTAAATTGAGCAATCCATCTTTCCACCCAACATTTATTAGGCGGCTACCCAGTGACCATGAAATTACCCCAATTGTAATACAAACCTAATTTGCATGTTACATTATTTTTGCATTATCACTGTCAACTCTCACAATGACATGTCCAGATGATCATGACATTA